CTGCCAGACGGTAGCAAGAAATTAAACGATCGAACGATCACTCTTGTTGAGGTTAAGGAACGTTTAGCGGCGGAGTGTACATACGCAGCAGGCTGTGTATATTAGTAGGATATATGAGACGTCCAATAAAGCTGGAACCAGAGCGAAGAATCGAAATAAGATCTATTGAAAAATTAAGAGCTAATCGAGTGCCCAAATTCGAATCTTGGAGCTCCTAATTTCGCAGTAGATTTTATTTGGATTTTCCACTGTGGCGGTTACACATTTTTTGAGCCGCCACGGGTATCGGAAATTATTGAAATCCCAGTAATTTTTTAATAAAATATTATTCGACCTGGACAGAGATTTTCTGGTATTAACCTAAACTGGAGACTGCACTTGGTATGGTTTTTTTTTTGCATTGTTCAGACAATTGTACTGGTTCTTACCCTGGCTTGTGAATTATCCTGAAATACGAATTTACTACGGCAGACTTATTTAGCAAGAGACCCGTTCGTGTGAACTGGGCTTTATCACGGCTGGTATGATTCATCGTTCTCGTGGACAAAGCTGGGACTGGATTCTCCATTGCGCTCCTATTATACTCGGTGCCTGTATTGCAACGTACAATACATACTAGAAAATTGTACACACGACCTCAGGTGGCTTTAAAGATAACAAGAAAGGCTTGTGAAAAGATTATTATTTGCATTTTTTTTTTTTTTCATCATACGGGTACCAACTATCCGGTATGTGTATATCGACAGGACTGCCTGCTAACATCGGATACCCATGTTGTTTCTCTGATTTTAAAATGAATCAATCGAATCGATCAATTAATCGATACACAGTCTACGACTCATCGTTTATGATCGAGTTGTCGTTCGATTAAAGAACATCGAGTCTATAAATCAATCCTGATGGCTCATTGGCGTCATTGTCACTGATCCACTGGTTGTGATTTATAAAGGAACTCTCTTAGAATCGAAATTATTTATCAAGGGGAAGTCACGTACGCTGCACTTTTCGTGTCCATAAATCCAATTAATAATCGATGGAAAATATTCTACCTTCGTTCCTCTGTATACATCGATATACACGGTACAACTATCGACATAGTAAATCATAACTCGGCACGATTCAAAGCGTCGCGTATGACCCAGTACAAGGTATACGCATGCGCAGACGGAGCTCTGAGGTATTTAAACTGGTAGAACGTCCAAAGGAATCATCGAGTGATTTACGACAGTCGCGATTCACTACAGGTAACCCGTTCGTTGTAACAAGTACACTTTGCAGCAATCCTATGGACATTTCCCGGACGCGGATATTGTTTTTGTCGAATATTCTGGAAATTACAAATAAATCCTACAGACATCCACGCTCGAGTGATATTCGATCGTGAAATTATTTTGAGGGACGTTTAAGACTTCCCAAGGTCTTGACGGACGTCGGAGTCAACCTCGTGGACTTTGCTGAACGCTTGATGCTCCATAAATAGAGACTGACTACGGGCTAGAGGAACACAGGGAGTCCCAAATGATGACTGACGACTGGCGACCCGATATCTTGCACTCCACTAATAGTCATCGGAGACATTTTAAAGATACTTTCGATCTTTTCGGATAGTCACGGAGTTACGTAATCGGGAGTTACAACAGCAGGAAGTTAGGCGGTGGGGAGGTCTCTCGTTCCTTTTACTTTGGCTCCATTCCTGATTCTGGCCGACTACGAGAATTCGACGACAGATCCAGCCGTCAGTCTGATCTTTCGTAATGTTTGGTCCATTCAAATCTTTAAAACGTGCATGACGTGTCAATTGCCTTGTACTTTTCTTTATTACTTTGATCTTCGTGATCGGTGTCTACGCAATGATTTTTTTTCTTTTTTTTTTTCATTACTTAAGATCCATCGATCTTCTTTATCAGTGGTCCAGTGTTGCGTCTAATTTTTTCTAATACCTTTTATCATTGCACGATGAACAAGTGCCGGATTTACGACGACCCGAAATGCAATGGGAATGCGATACCAGCGACCTCTTTCTCAACGCTAATAGTCAACACTGGGACTTTCTTGCGAGAGAGGATCGACGATCGACGGACGACCGCGATCTTCGAATCTTTTCATCTCGTGGGATGCGCACGATCGGGAGACTTCAGGGATGTCCTGATTCTCGTCGCGGTTCAAGCATCTATAAGTGTACTTCGAAGAAGTGGAACTAGCGCTTCAATAATATTTCACATTAGTGCTTCAAGTTGAGTCGCTACAGTCTGATTTTTTTTTTAGCATATCATTCTCAACAATATTTTGATGGGATCAATAGGTTAGGTTAGAATATCGCATATAGTTCGGATCCAAGGCCAATGTTGGCACTCTTTAAGCAATTTATTTACGAGCTCTTTTTTCTTTTTTCTTTTATTTTCCTACACGGCGGCACTTTGAAAGCTGTTTGGTACCTAACCTAACAGCATCCCAAGAGCACTCTTGTGCTGCCTGGTTTCAATTGCGAATAAGGACAATATATGCTTACTTCGTGCAGAGAGAGGGCGAGAGAGAGAGAGAGTGAAAAAAGAAGATATGCGTATTCTTTGGAACTATTAAAACGTAAAAGAGAAAAAAAGAGGTAGAAGATCAAGAGAAATGAAATCAATGATACTTGAGAAATAATTAGGTAATTATGTATTTTGTAAAAGTAGCATTTCCAATGGCACAACTTTATTCTATGGACTTTTACAATTTTCTGTTCTAATCACTTCCTGCCGGAAGTAAGAATTAGTAATTTTTTAATATAATTCGATTACGACTTCGTTAATACTAACAACCCAGTATACTCGGTTCTAGCTAGTAGTCTCGATAAATTTCATTAATTTCCAACTGATCAAAGCCAATTACTGGCGCCACGGTTACGACACTTACAAGGCAAAAGAAACAATCAGCAAATTACATTCCAGCAATTAATACTGTAACTCTGAAAATTTCAATCGGCATGTATATTTGAAATGTACGAAAGTACCGGCTGGGCGATTTTCTAATTTCCTAAATTGCTGCACGATTATCGCTAACGCGTTCCCGCAATTAAACTTTCATTCGCGATGATTTAGGGCCCAGCGAAATTGCACGATTTCATTACGTCCCGTTGACCTGTGACCCGGTACACATATATATACCGGTTGAATTTTTAGCGAATCACCCAGCCATGCCAGCTGCCAGCTCACGGAAATACTTTCTGTTGCACTCGTATACGTTATACTGCGTTATTATACGAGCTAAATTATTGCTGGCAAGTTCGTAAGATTCCTCCAAGTTTCTGCTACCATGTAATTTGATTATTATTCATATATATATATATATATATATATATATATATATATATATATATATTTTTTCTTTTCAACCTCTCCTACTTGTATTACGAAGCCACGTAGATACGAGAGTAACTCCGTTTTCTCTCACTTTCCCATTTAATCGCTTGACCGGACGAATAACCCCGCATAGAACCAGACATGCCTGTGATTTTTTATGGTCGCACACGTCACGCCGAGAAGCCATTAAAAACGTGTAACATGACGGAAATGACTTGGTATATCCGGTTATAAACGAAATTGAGGATTTCGCGGACGTCCTGCTTCCACTATTTTTTATTTTAATCCCCCGCGCTCTTTTACGTATCGTGCATACACGTTGCTCTCGAACGCGGTGCGAATAGGAATTACCTGGCTAAGGAATACCAATTGGCCAATTGCCCTGTCTCGGACGCAATCGTGACCTTTTACGCTTAATCGTAATTAGCCGATTACCAGTAGATAATTAATAGCCGTCCACGGTAACATTGTCGGGGACGCGTGGATGAATTAACCATGTTAGTCGGAATTATTTTTCTATCCTCGTTACTGATTGCGGTTCGCTACGTGATTCACGAGAGTCTGTGGTTTTACATGCGGAACACTTGGAATAATTATTCTTGATTTATACGTAATAGACGTCGCTACGATTCGTCGTCCTTGTGCGATTAATTGCGCGTGACGTATCAAGAAATTCGGAACAAAGCCACACGCACGACTCTAGTCCGATCCAACTCGTGCCATTGTAGTGTACGATCCTGCGTACTTGCCGGAGAAGAAATTGAGTCATAATGAACTGCCTGAAATTGCACTTTCGAATGCAATAAATTGTCCGTACTGAAGAATTTCTAGACGGGTTTTTGGGTGGGGATAACCAGATGAGCGAAACTGACGGAGCGTAGACGTAGAAAATAATGTATAGATACAGGCGTAATATGTACTACCTAATCTGCATACGTGCGTATATATTCGTCACTGTATAGATATACTAGGATACGCAAGCATACGTGCATACACAGTGACCGTATATTATTTTCACGCAAGAAAGTTCTTGGTTTCACCTCGTGACTTTGGTCGTTACACGTGTGCACGTAGCCAGACGTATGGATGGCTATGTACGTATTTCCTCGCGAGACGCAATTGTACGAACATCCGAGGAACGAGACTTCCCGTAAGTTGGCTCAATTCTTTTGGAAATGTCTTTTGGTAAAGTTCAGCAATCAACGAAGCCGCGTACGACCGTCACAGTGCGACTAATTCAACGTGGCTCTCGAGAGTATATTTTTATCGTTGCGAAATTTTGGCTGGTTGATATAAAACACATTAGACTTCCCGAACGACAGTTATCGTGCAGGATTAATTCGAAATGGTCGATAAGATTGGTGCTTCCAAGTTATCGTGATACCCGAGTCAGCGGTTCTTTCGCCGTGGACATTTATTCGTTGAATTAACGTGAAACAATGCATAGTACTGGAGATAATGATATTGTATATAATTTTGTTAAATCGTACGACAGTTGTTGATATGCTCGTTGTATGTTCGGCGGTAGTACAGGAATTAATTATTTTTCGGATTAGTCACATGTTTGCCGTGGGAAAAAGTATAATTGATTTTTATGTAACGTTGTGTCGGTCGGTCGATTGAAATGAAGATTAGCACTTTCTTCTGTGATTTCAGCAGTGCAACAGTGGGTCGACGGAAGGCGTCGTGGTGAGCGGAGGTGGTGGCATGGACTGCATGCCCCTGCGACCTGGACCGTTTCAGTACCTGATCAGCGAGCAGGCAAAGTCCCTGGTTGCCCTACAGGAGCTACAGAATGAGGTCGGCGCCCTCCTCGAGTTCCGGGATCTCGTCATCGAGACGTTCCCAAACCTCCGGCACAAGATGGCCGCGTCGGCGTCCGCGTCCGCGTCCGTTTCCGCTTCCGTGATGGCCTCCTCCCAGAGCTCGCACATTCCATTGCCGCTCTCGAGTCCATCCTCGCGGAGGATCAGCGAATGGGAGCCAGGGAAGGTCAGGAGACGCGTGCCAAGGGAAGCGGAGCCGTCGTCCTCGTTACCGAGGAGTCGCAGCAACTCCCACAGCGGCGGCAACAAGAACAGCGCCACCGTCCAGGACTCGGGCTTCAGCACGGAGACCTCCTCGAAGGACAGCGCCTCCACGGCGATTCCACGGCCACCCAGTCCGCGACCAGTCCTGGACGAGGCCGAGGACGAGCTCTGGAACCTGCTGGACGTCATACACAGGAAGGGAATAAGACTGCGGGAGGAGGTCGAGTGTCTTCAGGGTAGGCTGGAGAGCGTCGCCCCGGAGGAGCTGGAGATCTCGACGGATGTCCTGGAGGCTGTGAAAAAGGTCACGCGACCTGGCGCAACGACAGGTGAGAGCGTCGGGAGTATCGTTGACGAGGATGCTCAGGTCGAGGTGCTGCGACGGGAGAAGGAGCAGCTTTTGGATAAGGTAGCCGAATTGGAGGCTGAAACGATATCGAGTCGCGCACGGGCGCAGGAGCTGCAGTCGGAGTTGGCTGATCTCTCGGCGATCAGAAATGGCTTGGAGGATCGTCTGCGTGCTGGTCTTGACTCCAAGACGGAGATTCATGTTCCTGGACCTCAGAGGATACAGCCCGTGGCTCCTACGCTCCTGTCTTCGCCCAAGGGTAGCGTGAACATACGGAGTAAATCGTCTGCCTTCGCCTCTGTCGTCTCTAGTAAAGCTCACAAGAGTAGATTTAGGACCAGGACCATTGAGAAAAATGTGCTTGCTACTCTCGCGCAGCCTAATGATCTTGATGTCGATCTTGAGGCCAGTGTCAACGAGAGGAGAGCAAGACTGGGTGCACTTGATTCCGTATTGGTGTCTCCTAAGAGAGTCACTCACGTGAAAGATGTTGACTCTACGAAAATCGCGGCCATCTTGCGGGAGCATTCGCCTTTGGAACTTCAAAGACACCTCATCACTGCAACCGTCCATAATCAGGTAGGGTTTCGAAATTCTATTCCTTCGCCTTTTTGCCTTCCTGAAATACACTTGTCTGGGTCACTGGTTCATTGCACTCCGGGCTCACGTGTCGAGGGGATTAATCCTACTGTGGATTCATTCACTAATGCACGTTCTTACCAGAGCCTAAGGGACAATATGAAAAGCAATGCCGTTTATGGGTCAGGTGATTTTTAATTTTTGGGGTTTTAGGTCCTACAGAAGAGATTGGACGAGGTCCAGAAAAGTTCAGAAAGTCTCTCGGAACGCTTGGACAAGGCAATAGATGAAAATGACGACCTGCGCTTCCAAGTAAGAATCAGATAATTATTTTAGAGTTTTGTCAAATTTTCGAATTTTGATGTTTACACTTTTTTTTTCATTCAGTTGGAAGAACGAAAAATTGAACTGGAAGGTACCAAAGCGAGAGTGCGAGTCCTGGAAAGACTTCAGCAAAGACCGCCAACGGAAGCTGATCCAGAGGTGGAAAGTGAACAGCCGAGATGCGAACAAAGTGGTCCGGAGCCAGGAAGCAGTACGGAATCTGCTCGAGATCATCACCAGGCAATGGAGGTGAAACCATCTCCCCGACGTCGTCCTAGTCGAATACCTCTACCCGGGGCGAAGCCAGCAGCCCCGAAGCCGCCTACCCACGGGAGGAACGACAGTAGAGAATCATTGAAGTCACTGACGAGATCGTGCCGGGATTCTAGTCGCGATAGCCTCGGAGGGAAGTCCCTGTCGAAGGCGCGGGACTCCAGTAGGGAGTCCCTGAACAAGAGCCTCCCAAAAAGTAACAAGGAGGCGAGTCGGGAGTCCCTGAACAAGTCGTTGCCGCGTAACAATTCCAGCCGAGACTCCTTAAACAAATCCTCCTCGCTGTCCCGCACGCGAGACTCGCTGGAGTCCACTAACCTGGGGCCTCCCCCGGGAACTCCTCCTCGGCGACCACCTGCTCCTGCTCGTCGATCCCACAGTCTGGCCCGAGCCTCCGTCGATACTGACACCGGCAAGGTACGACCCGTAAAGCAATCCTTTTGGAGCAGCTGGCTGAAGTCACCGTTGTACAACGGTCCGACCTAGTAGAGCCGGGCCTAACAGCTCTTAGGGATAGCTGCTTCTTCTAACTTCGAACCTAGGACCGATTCTATTCCTACGACCTGGGCCAGCCAAGACATATAACTACTTACTCAACATCCACACGAGCATCTCCTGTTATAAAATTCACTACTATACCGTCACTCTTGCCAATAATCGCCAATCATACGTATACGCCATACTCTTAATCCATTCTCATATACGTTTCTACTTACGGTGTCGACGTCCCTGTCTACCTTAACCATATCCATCCACCCACAACCTCCTCTTCTATTCTTCTTCGTTTCTTACACTCCTCGCCATTCTATCTTTTTTCTTTTTCTTCTTACAGTATACTTCTAAATCGTCTTCCGTTACTTCGACCAAGTTTCGTTTCAACTTTCAGTATACGTCCGTCAAGAGATAGGAACTTTCCCAGACTATAAATACTTTTTTCTTTTTACCATTGTGATTGTTTCTTCTTTTATTCTCAATACATCCAAAATGACTGATCTAATGCCTAACCGTTACGATGGACCTGTAAGAAATGACAAAACTACCATAGACAAATTAAACCGTATATCACCAATCGACCAACCATCCACTAGCAAAAGTCTGATCTGGAGCGCAGGCGAGCGTGCGTTCGAGCCCGTGCCCGGCCGTCCAATATGAAACAGGCCCCTTCTCGCGTCCGTCGGTTTCTCGTAAGTTATGCTTCTTTTATTATCATTTGCTTCGACGCTTCTCTTGGATGTGGTGAGCTGTAGCCTGTGTCCACCTTTTCACCTGTAGTGCGGTAGAACCTCACCTGAATACAGCATGTGCACGCACGCGTAAGTTAATCGTCTTCCGGTGGACCCGGTAAGAATTTACTAGGTAAACGTCGAGCAATAAATTTACAATAAAAATTTACTTCAACAAATTTCAATACGAGCAACAAAATATTTGGAATTTTATACGATTTTTAAAACCTTACTGCTTCAATCAGAGAACAAAGTACCTGATTCGAACTCAGTATTATAATTGGATAGGAATTTTCTTAATTTTAAATTAATCATACAAGTGCACCAGACCTACCACAATGGAAATCATTCCGTACGTATGCATATATGAAAAGTATCAAAAATCAATATTTGACATCAATAAACGTGTGCTGTCTCGCTGATTCAGAATGTATATTCCAATAATTATAATAGTCTCTGTGTACAGTAGCCATAGCAATCACTAGATAGCATGCGTTAGTATTCCCCTGGAATCTGCATGCACGCCACACACATCAAAATGGGTGGGTCATCATTTCCAATCATTTCATATTTCCCGCCATTCCCACTCGAATCCACCTCCACTGCATATTCGCCCACCCCGCACGAGACTCTGAAATAAAATCGATTTGACGACATCGACCAAGAAATTTCTACAAGCTTCCATACATCACAGGCTTACCAATCACATCGTAGATATAGTGAATTACAAGCGTCCCAATGCACGCGAATGAGCTCTCATATGTGCCGTGTGTGTCGTGTAGAAATGGTACGACGACCTCTCGACCTCGAAACAAAATGTTTGTCAGTTACAATTAATTTTGCTCTTTCGTTTGCTCAATTTCGAAGTCTTATTTGCTATAGTGTTGCCTGTCTGTTCGTTAAAGTACGTAATCACGTGTTCAACTATTGCGATTATTTACAACGGCACTTATTCATTCTTAAGAAAATATCAATCGACCACACGCTTACCTGCTTGGCCTGCGGTTCGTTGCCCATCCTGTACGTCCAGGGCTACATGACTACAAACCCTGATTCATAATAATCTTTTGTTTTTGTCACCGCATCTTGCAGCTCGTCACCTTTTTGTTAAAACGTCACATAAGTCAGATACGTTATCCGAGCATAAACGTTGGCAAATCCGAGAGTATCACTCTCTTTGCTTTTTCCTTTTTCACTGGCCATTCAACCCAGTTAGAATTGATAACGACACCGAACACGGCCCAGCCGTGATCAGCTAACGTAAAGAGTACAGCTATCTACACTGCGATCATAGTTTGATCTTGTACGATAATTCCAGTCTGTTTCCCTGTATAAAGACATTAAACCACTGTCTGCTAGCTGTCTGCCTTCCATTGACTTTATTCACTTGAGCCAGCAGGTTTAACGTACGTGATCTTGATAAAGTATCAATACAGTAAGGAGCACAGAGTATAATTAGCTTGTAGACCAACTGACGTTGGAGTAATATATTTGTGGAGTAAATTTTTGTGCCCGCTCCGAGTCAGAGATTTTATTAACAGAAAGGTGATAATTAAATGTCTGTTGCAATCGTCCAAACCGTACGGATTTGTCTAATTATAATTTAATGGTAATATCGGCCCTCCGGCTCGTCTAATTATTGTTCTGTAACGCGACATTCACTTCTCTGTGATCCTGATGTGGAAATCCAGTTGGAAAAGTACTGAGCGGACTTTATTGCAACAGAGTGCCCAGGCCCACGATATTCCAATGCAACTTCAGTCAATGGCACTTTTTTTTACGTCTTGCAGGGTCTCACCGATCCACCAAGTTCCTGGTGCTCGACCAGCGGCAGCTTCCGGCACAGCGACTCCTCTCTGTATCCGGACTCTCTCAACCAGGAGACGTCGTCCGTCACCGGCTCCACCCGTGTCGAATTTATTCTTGGCTCACCGACAAGAAGATTTCGCACCAGCTCCGCATGGCCGCCACGTTACTTCGACAGCATCGATTCAGCCGCCGTCGTTGCCGAGAGTCTACTCACCGATGAATTTCCACCTGGGAGAGGCGAAGCGCTCGCCGAATGCGATTCGCTTGACAGTCGTCATCCGATTTCCAGCGACGGCTGAGGTTGCGTACTGATGAGGAGGGACGTCGTCGAGATACCTTCGGTCGGTCGGATCAGTTCTCATGAAAGTTTTCGACTGCCGAGATCGTCTCGTGCGGATTGTAACGTGGACGACTGGGAAGAGGGCAGTAACTGCTTACTGATTCTCTTAGCCGCTTTATCTGTAACTGCGTGCGTCACTCTTTTCTTCTGTTTTGCGTAATTATGGAATAACGAAAATGCGCCCGGGACGTCGAACATACACGTGATGCGTGTCCAATGGAATTATGCGGTTTTTTTATTATAAGTTTCTAGACCTTCCACTCGTTCTTGCGGCTCGTCTCGGACGGCTGAGATTTGTGACGAGTTATTTTATTAGATTTTAGGGAATTACGGAAATAAGGATTAACGAGGGGGCAGCGGGAACGACCATTTGAATGATACTGTCAGTGGGGATTGGTCTTTTGGAATTTTTTGAAATTTCACTTGAAACGTGTGTAAGCATCATTTATATGCATTTTTTCTTGGCTGTACAGACCAATCACTTTTCTATCATTCGCGTACGATTGAGGTACCGTTATCGAGGGCTCTAGAATTCATTGTTACAGCACTGAAAATTATGTAATATTATAAACTCGTGTTTGTTATTATTATTACCACGATACAATCGTACGTGGTCATCATTGCCCGAGATTCTCATCTGGTTCGTCTTTCGATAATATCGTGATAACTTTGTCCAAAGGAGAATGTCGTAAGAGTCGTAAACAAAAAGCGTACGAATGAATTTTCACTATTGTCCCAGCGAGTGCAACGTTAATCATCGAGACGAGTGAAGAAAACGGGGAAAAGGGAATAGATGCCTAAATAATTTTTATAATTCTTTTCTGGGTAGATCGAAAGTGTGCAGAGGACAAGTATGAGAGAAATGAGAAAAAAAGATTGATAAAGTGCGCATGCGCTCGAGCATACTGTGTGCGTGTGTGTGTGTAAGCGTTTGTGTACGTAATAACGTGAACTATAGCCGTCCACGTCCATTTTCAAAAAATTATATTTACACAAAAAAACGCATCCAACTCTGCGTCAGTTCATTTCTATTTTGATGTCCTTTTTTTTTCTGTATTTTCGTATTAACAAAACTAACGTCAAGAATGAGTTTGCCTCGCAAACTTCCAATTACTTGGAACACGTTCGGTAGCTAATTACTATATAATTTTCGAAAAACATTGTCTTAATTTATATTTAATTTAATGTCTCGTGTCACTCTTTTTTTTTTACCCCGTGCTAGTTGTATTGTCAATATTTTAAGGCTGTGTCCATGTGTTGCGCGATCTATGGCCGGTATGACAAACGGATAATAACTATTTGGTAACGAGTCTGTATTTCATATTTATTACGTTTATAGACGTCGGAAATTTGACAAAAAATTCAAAAAAATCTTTACCGGCAACCTAAAACACAGCGATCGCTGAGTAGCAGATGGAACTACAGCCGCGACAAGTGATTCATTCCATGTTACATTTTTAAAATGGTAACACCGTGTATTCCGATGAGCATTTATATACTTTCTTACGTTATTGTCGTCTGTTGTGATTATCGCCGTTCAATTCAATTAATTTATTATTAAATCGATGAGCAAGCGTATAGTCGTATCTTAAATGTTTGACTGTGTCTTGAGTGTGAATGATTTTGAGAATTTTTTCATTTTACATCGTCGGCTGAATCGAATGAATATTGCATGCATGCCTTGTGTGATTTTGTGCATGATTTTCGCATGAGTCTTACACGAGTGTGCACATATCAATGTGGGAAAAATTAGGATTTTTTGATTTTGCATTGATAAGCTTAACAGCTCACATCAAAACCCATTGGTCCTGCTAAGTATGGCTGATGGAAAGAAGAAAATTGCGATAGCACTTTTTTCGCCTGTTCTTTTTCGATCATTTGTATTTTTAATTTTCTTCTTCTATGTCCAATTCACCAACTTAACTCTAACTTAAAGTGACTTTAGGGAGATACTATTATATACTACACAGTTCCTTGCTTCAACCAATTTATTATTCGTAATGATAATGACGATGATGAAATTAATCGCAATCACAGAGTAACCTGTGATCTAGTTGTAAATCTAAATATGTGATTAACGTAGCTAAGCTAATAGGACTGAAGGACATTACTTATTAAGTTAGTGCCTGATATTCCTGAATGCTGTGCGCAAACCAAAACCATGGCGAACCAGTGGTTTTTGTTTGCCAACGTGCTGTTGTTTTTGTAAAAAGAAAATAGAGAGAGAGAGAGAGAAAGAGAGAGAGAGAGAGAGAGAGAACAAGGGATGGTTCGCGCAGCGATGAAAATGCTCAGATATTAAAATTTTATGCAGCCGGTGGACTCTGGTGCCCCCTGCAGCCTTAGCGCTGCCTACTGGAGGCTATTATTTTTATATGTTAAACTGCGAGTAAAATATCGAAAATACGGTCTGAAAATTGAAAAAGGCGAATAAACCAGATGCCCGAAAGAAAAAGTGGCCACTCACTTATTAGCGATTGCATACTATCATTGTATTATATTCTATCTACTGTAGAGACGTATTATCGATTGTGCGGTTATTATTTTGTTAATTAAATAATATACACGGACACCCATATACACGTACGGACACCTGTAAATAAACGAAACTCGTGAAATATTTAATTAGTTTTAATGTACATAAATTATATGTAATAAAATGCGCGAATAACGTGTTAAGATTAATAAACTGAAATTACGTAAATATACCAGATTCCTCATTCACTTTATTTTATCACGCAGTTTCTCATCGAGACGTTCAATCAATTCTTCCAAATTTGCCATACGATTTTGTAATCTGCAGACAAATTCAAAGAACGTCAAATCTTGCATGATCTATCGTTTTACGTGTATACTAACAATTTGTATTCTCGTCGAAGAATTGGCACGTCGGGTAGATCGGTAGAAAGTGCTGCTGTTAAATCAAATTGATTAATCGAAATTAATCATACAGTTTATACTGCTTATCGTACCTGTAGGATTTTCATTAAGCTTCAGTAATATATCATCGAGCATCGCATCCGTTACAACGACGTCAGAACGTATTTCGAATTTTTGCATAAATCCATTTACTTCCGCTTGCGAAAAGTTATGACTAAGAGTTCAAGAACGATATTAAAATATGTATCAGCAGTAAGAACGGATATGTAAATTTACCTAATAAGTATATTTTTTATTTCTTTAGAAGTTAATTCGGACTTGAACCGTTGATCATCCTGACCCGTCATGGATTTTATTCTACAGCAACTGCGCAGCAGGAACCAAACTCTATGAAGAATCTCACGAAAATCAGCCTTTGGGCCTCCGAGGTATCCATCGTACTTTGACATGCTGTAGGCGTTATTAATAATCGCTAGGAACATACTCTGAAAATTTCATAAATATGATTCACGTAGTTAAAATATAAAATTGTACATAGTAAACAACGTGATGCAAAAAAACTTACCAAAAGTATGAAATACATGATGAAAATAAATATCAGAAAAAAAAACGGCCCAAGAACTTTATCAAGAGCGTTCAATTCACGATATCCATAATCGCCCAATAGAACTCTGATCAGAGTGAATACAGCAATGTCCCACGTGTGAAAATCTTTGAGCTACGAATTAAAGTAATTTTTTAAATTTTACTTAATATCGTTAATTTAAATATAGCCAGAGTTACGGCTACTTACTTTATGACTGAAAAGTGCGTAAGCTAGTTGAGCAAAGGCCAATAATGCAATAAGAAATATCAAAGTCAATCCTATGAGATCCAATGCACATGTTGATATGGTAGCTTGAAGTCTCGAGATTGATCTGATAACTTGGAGATATTTCATAATTCCGAACCATGAGAAACATAGTAGAACAGCTTGAACGTAGTGGTAAATAATGTCGAGCATAGCGAGATTATCAAATCCTGCATAATCTCCATCCGTTGTGAGTAATTTCATCAATAACACTCTTGCCGTCGAATAAAGGTATACAGAAATGCTTAGATAGGCGATTAGAAGCTGAAGGTGTCAAAAAAGTGACTCAGTTAACACTTGGTATATATAAGATTGGTGATAAAATATATATCAACCTACTAACACAATAATGCTGAAATAAGGAAGTTGACTCACCAGCATGACAATCAGATCAATCCATAGCCAAAATCTGATCAAATGCGACAAGCCGAAGTATAGAAAATTTTCCACGGTGTAATAGATATACCACAAGATCATTAAGAAGAGGACGATATCAGATATCAATATCAAATAATCAAACCATTCTCTGAACTCCATCACTCTTACTGGCTGTATCGACCAACTGGGAATCGCAGTTCCTTCCGGTGGAAATTCCACGATCAATCTGCGATAAAAAGTCAGGTAAAAACCAAAAGAATTATTTCTACGGCATTTTCATATCATACTTTGTGATACAAAACATGTCAATATTTGGATTGTATACAGTAAATTCTATAAATGTGGCTCGCGTCCCGCGATCGATCCACAGACCACTTTTTAATTCTTTTATTATTTCTGTCGCCCTTTTTCGATCTGCTGGTAAAATTTGAGAGTAACCACCACCACCGTACCAGCTTATCAATCCAGCGTACGATACAGATTGGAGTTCATCAGCCGATTTGTAGATATAGCTGATGATGAAAAAGTTCATTGTTAATGCTTCGGTGGTTGGCGCCTCTTTTCTTGCCATAAGAAATGTATACCTATCGGGTTTGTCACACTACGCGATACGATAAATAAACGATACGATAAATAAACGTCTTACGCTTCGGAACCAGCGCCAAACGGTCTTCTATCTTCTGTCGATGGTCTATAATAATCGTAACACGTGGGAAATCGACGTCTATATATTTCTGGTACTCTGCAAGAATTATTTCGCACTCGAACTTGTCTCAACCTTGGTCGACCCACCATACGATTTTCGTATAATATAATTTTGTCAGACTCATCAGTAGGCTTTACTTGATCCTCTTGACTGTACCAAAAATCCCAGTAAAATCCATCGAGCATCGTTGTTTCGGCAAACTGCGACATTTATAGATAAAAAATTGTTTGAAATTGAAATAAACATATTTGGTTAATCCCAAATTATGGCATTTCACGTACTTTAATAAATTCTGCCTTTGTAGAAATACCTTCGAAGTTCATTGTCGTTTCGCCCATTGAAAATTGTCTACGTACAAAAAGTGACGACAGAGTGTTGGCGAAATAAAATCTTGTGGACGTTATTTTTCCCAGTGTACCTGTGGGATTATAAGTAAAAAAACATATATCGATATGCTATAATTCAATTTTGAAAAGAAATCTTACCAATGCTTAAGAATATTAAATAAACACAATAGATGAGGAGTTCCTTCACATTTACTTGGAGACACACATCGCGACTTTGTGAACGAGCGATGTCCCGTGTCAAGAGACGTATTTTCTTTCTGGTTTTTCCTAATGCATTACATTTTTACGAGATTATATAATCTATAAAATAAAAATAAAACTTTTTTAATACCATCATCGAAATATCTAACATTTTCGTCCCTGCTGTTGTCCACGACAGAATCCATATTTTGAACAGCGAGTGATTTTCTGTTTTACCACGCGAAGCGATTGTCGTCTGCTATGGTCGCCTCGTGTTTGTTCCAGTTGCGATTTGAAACGTCACGGAACGAATCCATTTGTATAACCTATCCAGATCGTATCGCGTGAACGGAGACTACTTAGTATCATAAATACACAATCTGTTTATAATAATCGCCAATCGCCAATCCAGAAATTACCGCTTATGGAGTGTTAATCGATTTAAAATTAAACTTCTTGGCAAGCATGGATGACAGGTACGTAAGACCTCTTGGTCACTGACAATTAAGAGTGATAATATATCACCACCTGAACTTCAATAGATTACAAAGAGAGATTAAAGCAGTAGATGCCAATACTAAGCAATCAGCAATCGACGTTCAGGATGAGGATTACGATCCCTTTTCAAATCGATCACAGGACCATTTGAACTCGTAAGCATTGGAATAATCGTTAACCAACGCTATTATACCACAGTGCCATCAATAATTCGTTAAAGGGATTTTGCCGTTTTTATACATTTACTGAAAGCCGCTATGGGTAGCGGTATACTCTTCCTACCGCAAGCCTTCATGAAAACAGGTTATGTCGTTGCCATTGTATCTAGTATCCTTATAGGCGCACTGTGTACTCATACTGCAGTAATAACAGTGAGTTGAGTAATAAATCTATTATTATATGCAAAGGCAACAGTGACGACTAGTCGTTATCAGGAATTATCAATAACTATGCCTACAGGTACAGTGTTCCCAGATACTTTGCAAGCGAGAACGTGTGCCCGTGTTAAATTTTGCTGAAACTGCAGGTGCGTCTTTTCGATCGGGTCCAAGAAAATTGCAAAAATATTCAATCGCGTTTAATGTTGCAACAAACGCCATTGTTTGTTTCGTGCAATATCAAACCACCGTGATATATGCACTCTACGTTGCGACTTCTTTTCAGCAGGTAAAATTTTCTGCATGCTAAGAGTTCGGCTGGTAAAGCTTTCGATAAAACTGCTTTCAATTTACTTCCTTTTTTCAAGGTTATAGAACACTTTTCGAATTACGCGATGGACTCGAGGATTTATATCCTTATTTTTTTGCCTATTTATCTCGGCCTCGCGCTTATCCCCAATTTGAAATACCTGGTACCTATTTCGATAATTGGCAGTATTTTCCTGGGAATCGGTCTCTTCATCACTGTATATTATTTATTCGTGGATATTCCAAGTCCCGAGAGTCTGAACGTAGCTACGAATGTTTTGTCGCTTCCTGTGTACTGTGTAATCTTCCTCTTCGCTATGCACAACATGTCGATATTATTGCCTCTGGAAAATTCGATGAAAAATCCTAAAAATATGTCAAAAGTCTTAAGAGCAAGCATGGCATTAAACACGTGCATCTACGCAACCTTCGGATTCCTTGGTTATAACAAATACAACAATACTTGTGACACAGTCATTAAGAATTTACCGTTAAATGAGATGTTAGTATTAATATAACTCTTTTTAGTTTCTGATAATTTTTAAATTTTCCACTCATCCATCAGACTTGCACAAGTAGCGAAGATAGCGGTATCAATTTCCGTCATGTTTACCTACGGCCTCCAGTACTTTATTCCAATAGGTATTTTATGGCCAATCATCGCTGTCAAAATCAAACCCGAGAGACAGTTGATTTACGAGATTTCATTTCGCCTCGGAGGAGTCTTCGTTAGCAGTGAGTTTACCAATAAAATAAATCTTTGAAGATAAATTTTCAAAAACACGTTAAAGGCAAGATCTACACATTGCCTTTGTCTCTTTGCAGCCTTTATCGCTATAGCCATTCCACAAATGGTACCACTTCTTGGTCTCTTTACAGCATTGACAATGACCACGGCAATGTTACTGATTCCCATAACGATAGAACTGGCAACAAAATGGGAGTACACTGAGAATCGTACTTTAAATTTTCTCATTGCCAAGAATATAATCATTGCGATAATCTGGGCACTCTTATTGGTAATTACTGTTTACAGAAAAATAATCATGTTATTCAACCATATACAAATTCACATATTTCATTATAGATTTTCGGCTGCATCGAGAGCATCAAGGATATCATTGAGAATTACACAGGAAATAAAGACAATGCAGATATTTGTGGATAAGTAAAACAATAAGTATAAACGATTGTACATCGATCCGTTGAGCTGTCTTTATCGGCGATTAATCCTCGATTGATTTTGCAACAATGGAAACGAAGGAATCCAAGTACTCTTTTGAGGATTATAACAAAAGTCGAGATTACGATGAGATTAGATGCACCGTTGAAACTAATCATGACTGACAGCTATCTCACAATGTACAAACTTCACAAGAGCGATACACCAAGTGGAACAAGCAAATGATTGTCATATCAGCTAATTGAACCAACGAATGATAGGGTTTAGAAGTGAGAAATCCCCACCTATTCAACTTTGAGGAGCAATGTTTGCGTGCGCTCCATTGGTATATATATTGCATAACGATACGAATGAAATCATCTAGCATATTTACTAAGAGTCGTTATAGTCATTGAGCAGCTCTCTACTCTGTGATAGGTAAGTCGGGCGCGATGATGATGTATTCTTAATTTATGACAAATAAAAACGTTACGTTCGAGATTGTTTAAAAAATATCTTCATACAAAAATTATTAATGACAGTTGAAGACGATTAAGTGTTTTTACGGTATTATTAAAACTTTTGTGTCTTTTAACTCTTCAGTAGTGGTGTTATTTTTTTTACTATAAAAAATGTACATTTACTGGGTATGTCAGGCCAAGCCGCATCACTGACAGGTTGTGATCAGTTATTTTAAAGAGAGTAACAATACTTGAGGGAATGAAGTTATTATTCTGTGAAGTAAAATCAGTGGATTGATCTATATTCAAGCAGAGTTAATTATTGATCTTGAATTGTGGCGATTAAGATACCATCAGATAATTAAGGTTGCTGGGCGAATTACTGATAATTTTTTAATAATCAATATATGTTTATCTTTATGAAAGAAATTAATACGTATCCAAATGAATTTTAATATGTGGGGAAGGGGAGGTTTTTATTGCTGATAGGAACAAATGCGTGGGCAAATATCACGTGACACGGCAAGTGTTAAACTTATACTATCTTACAAGAACTGAATACAGAGTACAGATGGCAAGGATTGTTAAGAAATTTATTATTGACTAAATTAGTTGTTAGGTTAGGTTATAATTAAAAAATTTGTGCGGCTTAAGTCTAATATAAAGTATATATTGTTTAGATGCTTACAATCATTATTGCACATAGTTTGATTGCACACGTGTATAGTTAATTTCTCCGGGATTCTTTTTTCTGGTCCTAATCTAAAAGTTTTTTAGATGGGAGCGTAAAATATTTGGATCGGAATATTCATCCACAGCCTTACATGTATATATGTTTTTTTTCAAAGTACGTTTTCGTTTTCTGTCACTGATTGCTCGTCATCTCAGAAAACGTCAGAAAGCCTTGATCTTTGAACGAATAAGAACAGAATCAATTCCTCGAAGCGATACAATAATGCAGTTGGATGATTACTCCGTTATTTACGACAGTCTCATTCAAAAACAAGAATTAGTCAGGATTTCGATGTCAATGATAATTATAATTCTTAGGATAAACAACTGATTCAACAAAAGATTTTGAATCGAAAATGCAGTACCGGGCTTAGCCTATACAACTTTTTATTCCTTTGTTTTTTGAGTTTGTCAACTGAAGTGTAACACCAGCTTTAGCTTAGGAGATGCTAGGCAGAACTTTATGGCCAGTGATGGGTTTAAAACCGTATTTTTTGGATATAACTGATAATTTAAGGCTAAAATTGGTGTGAACAAACTTTAGGTTTCCTATTTCATAATCTTAATATCAATCTCAATGTTTCCGCGTAGAATAAACAGATTCAAATCGGTGGTAAGTTTTGGACTAGGGATCATAAAAACCTGAGTATATTTTTAAACATGTTAAAAATTTTTATTAATCTACTTTTTTTTCAAAATTATTATCAATGTCGAGTGACTTTTATTTTGACTTTGTATTTATATGATAGGTGTTAGTTTTCTGGAATAAAACGAAATATCAAATCACTTCTGTGTCAGATAAGATGAAATAATATCATTATTTACAGAATCATCATGGCTGATAACAAATCGAAGATCGATGTGCCGATCGGACCACCAACAGATTACGGTAGCAGGTATGTTCTCCAGATCCAATCCAGATCCAATAATGATCATATACTTTAAAATTTATAGACTTACCGACATGTATCGTCGTCCAGATTTACGTCAAGGGATCTATAATATTGGCATTTATCGACTGATACGTCAAATATTGATAATAGTGTTCATGATAACGATAAGGTACCTGTGATTGAAAGTGATAGAAAAATTAATGTTTTGTTTTTTTCCGATTAACAGAGATACAATAATCAATGAAGTGAAAGCCGACGATGGTTATGACAATTACAATCCCGTGGAACATAGGAATCTGAAAAATGCCACCACGTGAGTAGCGATAAAATAATATAATTTAAGCGCTATTTAATATAATTTTAATAATTCCTAATTCTCTTATCCATTTCTTCAGAGATTTTGGGTCTGCGGCACATGTATTAAAGTCCTCCCTGGGCACTGGACTTATAGCGATGCCAAATGCTATAAAAAATGCGGGCCTCATTGTCGGTGGAATAAGCACAGTAATAGTAGGAATTATTTGCGCCCATGCTGTTCACATTCTCATAAAATCATCCCAAGTAGCGTGCAAGAGGACGCGCTCGCCAAAATTGACGTACGCGGAAACGGCCGAGTCAGTATTTAAAACTGGCCCTAAAGGCGTGAGATTTCTTTCCTCCTTCAGTAGAAGTTTCGTGAACGTATTGCTTTGCGTCACGTACATAGGCGCGGTTTGCGTATATATCGTGTTCGTATCGACTACGGTTCAACAGGTAAATATCAAGTTACTACATAGTTTTCTATTGTATCATTGTTATTTTAACGTTGGATAATTTTTAATTTCTAGCTCATGGAATATTATACTGGCGTGAATATACCTATACGCTTATATATCCTGACTACTTTTCCTACTATACTCGTATTAGGCCAAATAAGGAATTTAAGGGCTCTCGTTCCTTTGTCTACGCTGGCAAATCTCAGCATTCTCATAGCATTGGCTATCACGTATTATTACATTTTCGAGGATCTTCAACCCATCAGTAGCGTTAAAATGGTTAACTCTATTGAAAATTTCCCAAAGTTCCTTGCTATCGTGGTATTTGCAATTGAAGGCGTTGGAGTGGTAGGTATGACAAAATGCAATTTTGTATTATTACCTTAAGTACTTTTAGATCTGCACCAAATTATATATTCCTTTATATTTAATCTTAGGTATTGCCTGTTGAAAACAATATGCGAAATCCATCTCACTTTTTGGGCTGCCCAAGTGTACTTAATGTAACAATGACTATCATCATTACTTTGTATACTCTAACAGGAGTATTTGGTTACTTGAGGTACGGTGATAAAACTGAAGCAACTATTACAATCAATCTGGATACTCGGCAGATGTAAGTACAGTTGATGAATTATCGTGCAGTATAATTTTTTTTTATTAACCATTCAATTATAATTTTAGTCCAGCTCAAATGGTTAAAATGCTTATGGGACTGGTTATTCTTTATACCTATGGTCTGCAGTTTTACGTCCCAACGGAAATCATTAAGAATGGCGTCCAAGGATATTTTAGTGCAAGATACAAGAGTATAGTTCAAACCTGCATCAGGTTTCTCCTAGTACTTTGCACGCGTAAGAAACTCCTTTTATTTACTGTCCAAGCAATTTTAGCAAATATTAACCAAACTGCCGTTCAACAGTGATCATCGCGCTGCTGGTGCCGGATTTGGATCCTTTTATATCTCTGGTCGGTTCTCTATGTTTCTCTGTGCTTGGAATAGCAGTACCGGCTATAATTGAGACCGTCTCCTGTTGGGAGCATCATTTGGGTACTTTGAAATGGAGACTGTGGAAGAATGTCCTTATGGTAATATTCTCCTTATTCGCGTTGATATTCGGTGCTTGGGTATCCTTGCAAGAAATAATAGCACTTTATAAGTAGTAACTTTCAATTGTAAAGAACTTGCGGGTGTAAATAATAAAATATTTGTGCAGTTTGTTAAACCGTCTCAATACCCTAATTCGAATTAAATGACAATCGTTATTTCAATTGCTGACACGTCCTATGCGATGTACTTAATTCCGCGCATGCGCAATTGGCGAAACTGTCAGAGAGTATCGAAGAACTGGCACCACGTTTTTCGTGGATTTTCTTACGTTATGCAAGCAGCATGTGGCGAAGATAATAAAGATTGCACACATGCTGGGTAACCAACAGATAAAATCAAAAAGTCTCAAGAGACGATGCAGTTGGATCACATCGATCAGAAGTTCGGCGTGCTCCATTTTGCCCTACGAATGAAATGTCCAAAATCAAAAATAAAAGATATTTCACGATTCTAGTATAAAAGTATCTACTGTTATATTATTGTTACGTCAAGTGAATGACAATGCTGACCTCTGCCACCCAAGCAAAAGGGAAATATCCTTCGCTTACATTGGACAATAATTTCACAGGCAACTTTTGCAAGTACATATTCAACTGCATCTTTTTAAAGCCCCTTAGAGGGATACCGGTCAATGGTTCCATTATGACGAAAGTTTTATGACGTTCCTCGTCCGGATTTAAACCTTTGGCATACAATAAAAGCTCTTGTGCGCCATGCAGAAAGTGTGGTTCGGATACGATTACTGGTGCTTCCTGTAAGATAATATGTAGGATAATCAATATATTAAATAGAGCAAACGATTTTATGTTTATACATATTTACCTGACATTTTGTTACGTCCATTAAACCGTACAGCGGACATTTTGTTTCTTGTTTAATTTTTGGACAATAACAATCTGTTTCATTACCTTCCCATGAGCTGTTCACCTTTGTGTAAGAATAACCATTTAGACCAAGTATGTCTACAGTACCATTATACTTAACATTTACTGATCTGAATAACGGGAGACGATAATACGTAAGTCAAGATTTAAGAAAATATATAATGAATATTTCATGAAATTTCTTACCGACACAAATCCACTATGTAGGAACTTATCTCTGGTTCAGGTGTGGTCATTGGTGGCGATACGACGCTGTCGGTGCCAGAAATTTTACTGCAATCTGGAAGTGCCCAGTATGTCAAATATTCGGAGTTTTTAAAAGACGTTAAAATTCCACGACGTCGCCAATCTTTTACACCTCTATTAACCGTGAACGGCCCTACTGGAAACTGGTTAATCTAAAAGGAAGCAAAAAATAACTGTAAGCAGGAAAGCTCATCGTAAAATTACTTTGATTGAATATACCTTGCCGAATAAACTAAACAGATAATGTCCTGGTGTGTCTGTTGCTTTAATAGCAGGAGGTGGTTTTCCTTGGACGATATTGCAAATGGATAATAATTCTGGATATTTCTGTACGTCGCAAACAAACGGTATACCATCTAGAAGTATATCTTTCACTTTACCACGGGAAAATATATCTCTGAGTTTGGGAAACAATTTCTGCACGTCGGCACCCATTGTTGACACCATCGATGGTAGTAAGCTGTTAATCTATTTTATAACATTTGTAATTTTATAGGTAGCTTGTAATGTTATCGTTAATCGCATGATTGTATGATATAATTATATTACCATAAGCATAATTCCGAGATAACCCGAATTCAATATTGTGATTGGTTCCTCGTCTGAATTTCCATTAGATTTCTCTTTATTGAAAACTAGCTTACGCTTTAACATATATTCGATCTCGTCTCGTTCTTCGTCAACTTTTATCACCTCCTTGTAGAGATGCTCGCTAAAGGTTTCATATCGAGTATAATATTAGAAATTTGTCGAATAAAAATTTGAAAAAGTAATGCAAATCATGGGATAAATATTACTCGTAAACGTAGGGTCCGTATTCGACTAGTTGAGGTGGTTCGCCCTTCATGACTTTAGCAGGATTAGTTACGTGAAATAAATATACTTGAAAATCGAATTCAAGATTCTGCCAAATATCGTAAATTCGATTTCCAGGTACAAGCATGTTCTTCTAAAAAACAAAACGATTATTGAACTTTTCCAAAAATACTTTATCTCGCTTCGAATTCGTAGAGTGTAATTAACTTACTTTGTGTACGAAGTTCAATACTATGTCAGTATGAGGTTTCTTGATAATAATAAAAATTCCAGTACCAAGAAGAAGAAGACCTACCAAATACCATAATAAATTATACCAATTAACTCTTTTGCCCATTATAACACAAAACTAACGAACTCGTTTTACTGCGACTTGTACAGTTTTACATGAGAATTATACTGTGCACTCAACTCCTATGAGACATAACCATGTAAAATGGAGAGTGATAATAAAAACAATGCATTACCTTAAATTAATCATGAGATAGCAATGCATTTTTTATTTAGAATGCAGCTGTAATGTGCATGCGTCCCATTTTGTTACATGTTTAATGAGGAGGTTAAAGCAGGAACATTGTCATTGATTCCTTGTCGGACTCCTGTATCATTTTAAATGAATTTCTGCGCATGGGAGAAAAGCTGTGATTCCAGCCTAAACTGTAGATACTGCAGTTGCACCAAATCTGCATAACCAACCGAGTCCCTAGCACGACTCTGTGGCTGCACGATTTCAGGTGGCGCTGCTAAGCAATATTGATACGGCTCACAATCGGCGTTAATCTCGAATAGCGACAGGGTGCAGAAGAAAGCCAGTAATGGCGGCGTTCAACTCTTCCAATTTTGAACTCTAATTTTCCTCGCGTATCGGGTATCTACCGGCTTCATATATAATAGTCGAATATACTCCTTGCAACACGGAGGGTGACGTAGGCGCAAAGGTCGTCCGAGTTTCGGTGCTTGAGGTGTTCAATAATTCGGTGGCTAGTAACCTACGTGCCGTATAACCTATCAGGGGTTGGTGTTTGGCTGGCTGGAAACAATGACAATGAATGAAGACTTCAACTTCGCCGAGCTTTGTCGGCTCTGTTCATTGAAGAGCAACAATCAGCTGCAGATATTTGATAAGGAAGGCGAACAGCGTCAATTACTTTTCAAGATACGTTCCTGTATTCCTGCTGTGGTAAGTCTTTCAAAATTTCGTTCAAGATCCTGCAGGGCTCGTTCGTTTCTCAACAAATACTCCTTTCTTGTCTATTTTATAGTGGAACTCTGTCAGAATATTTATGGTTATTCATTCAGCTGTATTATGTCTGAAGCTGATAGGAGTTTTGTATTAATGCAGCAATATTTCCTCATTGTATTATTTCATTAATGTCTGTGTTGAATGTGTAACATTTTGTTATACATTCACTTGTTGCGTATTGAAGATTGCAAATGAGTTGTTAATTCGAATGGAGGAAAAGAACATCTGCAGTTTCTGCTGCCGGTGCAATTTTATAAAGTATGATGCGACTACCTTACATGAATACATTAATTGGATAGGTGATTAGATGGATGACCTCAGAGTATTAAGGAAACAATTCAAGTTTATATATACCATCAACTTATTGACAATTACAAGCAAGAAATGTTTTCATCAATGGACTTATGTTCCTTATGTATATTTATATTTGACTCAATAAATGGTAGTCTTTCTTATACGCAGATGTATATAGAGCTTATACAGAGCTGGCTAATATTTTTGAAATCACGTATACCCATGAGTAATATTAAGCAATTGAATATCAAAAATTTAAGATTTATTTTTTTCCTATATCCAAGGAAATGATTTAATTAAGGCTTTCAATTGCTTTATGAAACATTTATAAATACTGTATTCTGCTTTGAATTCAATCAAAAATCTGTCATTTGTTATAATGCTGTTCATTTTAGGTTTAATTTTAACTTAGTATTTCAATCATTGAAAATGTAAGATATTATACATTTTGAACTTGCACGTGCATTGAATTTTAATATAATGCAGTCAATTTGTCGCGTTTTATGTGCATGCATGAACGCATGCGCATTTAACGTGCGCAAAATGCACGTGTGAAGACTAGAACTGTTCTCAAGCATATTTTTGAGGTCGCTTTTTAATGTATAAGAATCAAACAATTGTTGTATGACGGATGAATATTAAAAAAAGAAAAAGGAGTCCTTCGCGTTCATAACCACATCCATCAAGATGTTAAATGAATTTTCACGAAGCCTTTGAAAGTCTCAAAAAAAATGTAGCAATTTATCCTTTAGTTACTTCTGTTCGTCAACTTTTATTTATTAGGAATATATTTAAATATAAAAATAGAGCCTCTAACGTTCAACGATGAGAAAGACTGTTTTCGTAGATTACCAAGGAGGATGCCTTGCCGAAAAATATATGCCAGAGATGCGTCTACAAGTTGGATATGTTCTACGAATTTCGTGTAAGCTGCATGACGACTGACACGGTGCTGAAAAATTACGCAGACAGCTTAAAGCAACTCGCCGCATCGGTTAACAGCCAGGTAAAATCAATTGGAACTCACAGCACTACGATATCAACTGTAACCTACAATATTTCTCGAAAGTCTTAGTTATCGATTCGATAACAAGTTACATCTTACCCTTAACTCAAACGTAAATACTCTAGTAATTCTTTTTGCGAATAAGTGACGCATGACGATTGATTTCCCGACGATTTCTCCACAATATTAATGGAAAATTCTGTCGCACTTAGCGCGCATTGGCGGACATTGCGGAAATTTACGCACAGAATTGCTGAGATTTCCAGGAAACGTAAAAGATCGACAAACATATTTCGATTTTGGGACGTTATACTCAGAGAGATCTAAAACAGTTCCCCACATATCTGTGTGCGTGACATCAATACCGAATTGCCTTGCGAATAATCCAGTAGGCACCAGTAGTAAAAATGTTTAAAAAAAGAAAATAATTAATCGAAACTTTGTATGGGTTCGTAAAGTGATCTTGCGGAACCGTCAATCGCCGTCCGTATCTCATATTCATCGACAGTGCCAATTCACTGATCTCAAGTTACATTCATCCCCATGGTCCATCAGTGATATACATATACAGAGTGTGAAAAGTCCGTGTAGGTCGTCGCGACATCGGGCATCAAGACAGTGTTCGATATGAGGGGCGTCGCTGATCAGTAGCTTGAGGTCCTTGATTCCTTTCCATTCTCCGTGTAGACTCCCATTTCTGACCGCAAGGGTGTTCCGTAGGGTGATCTCAATAATTCCACCCTCACACATACGGTGCTAAGCGAGAGTGTAACCGTCCCGGCGCTATTGATCGGCGCGCCGGCCCTGCGTCGCGCACAGAAAGCGAAAGTCGGAGAAGTGGTCCCCCCTTACTTTGGCGTCTCGACGCGTCTAGCCTCGTCTCCGACGCGTGGCCTGGCCAGGTAAATGCTCGAAGCTCATCCTGTTCCTCATTTCATACCTTCCCTCCTACACGAGGCCTCCTGTGACACATACAGACCCCGCTGTTCCGTCCCATTTCTACACGTCTCTGTATTCAGCTGAAAGCCCAGCGATTGGTCGGCTCGTATCCCCACTCAAAAAAGGATGCCGGTTCCCGAGACGATCTCTTGATCCGTCGATCCTCTCGTATACAGGTGCATCACCGGAGAAGCGGCGTCAAAACCGCGTGCCTACAGAGGCGTCGCAGAAAACCTGTTTGGTATGGCCAGGGCTGTGCCGACGCTGAACGCCGCTACCTCAGAGAGTGAAAAACTATTTGAAATAGGGTCCCACCATTGAAGAAATGCGTATCGTATAGCAGCTAGGTACCGACGGTGCACGGTAGCGCGCCATCGTATCCTAATCGCGCACGGGCCGCCAGCCTTTCAATGTCAGTGTCAAGGTCAGCGGGCCGACGCACTTCGCTCGCAGTCGCAGTCGCAGTCTCGTCCCTCGCGAGTACGAGCAGACAGGAGCGACACTGTATACGCCGCCACGAGTCAGCCGCTAGCAGTATACCGTAGTACACCCTCAGGATACCTACTGTACTCTCTCTCGCAGTGTGCCGGGCGTGCTCTTCCATTCTCCTGCTCGGTCGGTTCGCTCGTGATCTGCTACGTCTACCAGAGCCACTAAACTCTCATTTCGTATCTTCATCCGACTCCCCTACTCTGTCTCCCCATCCGGCACGGTGCATTCCTCGATATTATTACGCAGTCCCGCTGCATCCGTGTCACCACCGACGGCCCTGATTTTCAATCTTTTTTTCTTCTTCCTTGCCTCATTTTTTTCTCACTCTCGGGACCCTCGAGATCCCAGAACGGCGTCCCTCTTCGCACCGTTCCCGACTCTGTCTCGTCCTCCTCGTGGCTGTATACCTCCTGCCACTCGGCATACTGCCTCCTCTCCTATTATCTCTTCCCCTTGTACTCTGGAACTACGTCATCGTACTTCTTTAAGCTCTCCTTATTGTCAGCCGCCTTGCTCTTGGTCGACCGCTACCGTGGACGCAGCGCTCTTGGCTTGCCGAGAACGAGATCGGAAGTGTTGTCAGAGAGAATACCGATTCGTTACGGTTTTGTAACGTAGAACGTACGTACCGATTGCTATTTTTACGATAAATTCACTGCTGTTATATTACCGGTTCAACCGTTGCTATACTACTCGCTGTTGCTGCTTCGAATAATACGGTTACTACCTGAGTGAGTGAAGTGGGGTTCTTCATGCACACGTGCACGGGTCGCCGTGTTTATTTCCTTAGATACTGCCAAAGCATTGGTATTTCCTTTCTCTCTCTTCCTCTCTCATAAAGTACGCGATCACACGGCATCTGTCATTCTCTAAAGGGTCTAACGAAAACTCAAGATTGTCACAGTCACAATTCATCTCCTCGCGAGACATCTCGTTTGCTTTCTGCATGTCGAAGGCTGCCGCGATCGCCTCGGCTCGCTGTTTTTTAAGGATCGATACGTTCGCCTCGGCCGTTTCGTTCGTCGTGCCTCTTTTTCTCCTCTTCTCCTTCTCTCTCTCTCTCTCTCTCTCTCTCTCTCTCTCTCTCTCTCTCTTCTTCGCTCACCCCACCTGTTTCCCGTTCGCTCTCTTCCTCTCTTACCCCGTGAGGCCCAACTTCTTCTCTCACTCTAGCTCTCTCCTTCTCTCTCCCTCTGTTATTTCGTCTTGCCGACAGGGTCGCCCGGATACGAAGCCGCTCTGATCGGAGAGTGCCCTCGCGAAAACGATCGCGGCCACCCCGTGCACTGATCCTTAATAATAATCTCGGGTTAGGAGAGGGAGCGAGTGAGAGGGAGAGAGAGAGCGATAAAGAGGAACCGCGCGGTGCGCCCGTTCGGTTGGGAATTTTCGTGCTGTGTCAGCCGCCGTCTGGGATTCTCCCCGTCCTGTAGACTCCGGACACTCGTTAAAACGCTCACTAGAAGAAACAGTCTCCTTTCGAGTTTCCTACGTGTTTCAAAAGTGTCGGACTATTGTTTTTCAATCGATTCTCATCTCCGAGCAGCAGTAAATCTGCTTTCGCTTGATCCAATACACGCTGGGAGAGTCCACGCGTTCGCCGCGGGCCGCTATTCCCGTCGAGGATGCCGTCCGTGGGGACGTATAAAGTGGCGCCGAGACAGAAATCCAGGAGAAAAGAAGGAATGAGAGTGGCGACTGTTTAAAATCGATAGGCCTATACGCGCTGCAATTTACGTCTACGGATAGACTGTATACTGGTGTACTATTCGGTTGTTGATTGTAAGTATTGGACTATGGTGCGTGATATCTTACTTCGAATTTAATTCTGTGGCTTCATTGTGATTGAATTTTTTTTTTCTTGCTAAAACTCATCAGTATCGTAATTACATACTCGTTTTTGATAATCGACATTTTAAAAAAATTCATTTCGATCGAATCGCGGTGAACCCGTTGCGTAAGAATAGCTGGATCAGTAAGGCTGGATAAGTCGCTCTGTGGACTTTGTTTTATTACCAGTGTACCAACATGAAACGCTGTAGTTATTAGCAACGTAACAAAAAAATTGGAAGCAGTTTATTACGTCGTTCGCGACTTAAAATTTTTTTTACTGGTTAAACATCACTCAGATGATATTAAACGTTTTTATACCAAAGGCAACGCGTTACGCTCCATGTGTCCGGGAAATATATTCCTCTCGCTGTGAGATACGCTGCAAGAAAAATGTGACTTATGATTTATTCTGCCTGAAACCGTCGAGTACTTTCGATTAATTTATCTTCGCACTGCCAAGATAAATGTATTTATCATGCGGTATTTTCATTTTCAGATTTTTCTTAACAATACTCTTCCCTCTCTCGGCAAGCAGTAACAGTTCAATCATAACGTTCCTCAACCAGTCTCGTATACTAAGATAATGCGTGCAATGTGAAATTATTTTATCCACGCTCGGTTTCTCGATTCCACTTAATATTAGCCGTCATGCTCTGCGTCCTGAGAAAAACAAAATTTACGTACTTCGACGCCATTGTCGCCACCACGCTGCAGTTCGTTACGTTCGTTCGTTAAGTGCATCACGTATTATCCGTATTGCACGCCGAAAAGACTAGTTTTCGCAGTGAGTACCCCATTATCGGTCCCTCGGAGGACAGTGAACGATAACAATTCTGCTTATCACACGCTGAACAATGGGCTCTATGGGGGCGACGAATATTCATTGCGATTACTCAGCGTTTAACCCAGGAATCCAATCTTTGATTTAACACGGGTTACGACAGCCATAAATCGTGCCGGTAATCGGCGACCTGGCGATCGCTATGGATATTTAATTATACCAGGAATTTATCAGTCCTCGTTAACAGGCACTTCGGCCGCACGGCGAACCACTGTGTGAACATTAAGCGCGACTTTGTTTCATTGCGCGTTCGGCTTAAGTTAATGACGCGCCGGGCTCGATCGTCGGTGCGATTTAACAAAGGGAGCAAAAAAGGGAGAAGAGTAACGACTGGGTGGTGATAAGTTAGTCGAGGGTCTCGAGGGGGAGGGATGAAAATAATGTTTTAAAAAAAAATGTAAACCCACTGCGGCAGGAGTATTTTGAAAAAGGAGCAAAAAAGCCGCCCACGTCTCTAGGCCGCTAAGCATTTCTCCAGTTGTCAGGAGACCGGTTTCGAATTATCACCGTGAATCCTACTGACACGTCGTTTTCTCTTACGGGAAAAACGTCTCTCTCTTTCTTGGCTATCCTCTTCTCTTAGTATTTATATATATATATTTTTATCATTTCAATATCTTCTTTTCTGCCCTTCTCTCGTCGCTCGGGTACTACGCCACGCTTATCTCCAAGAGTGGCGTAGTCTCGGCGTGGCGCGATTTCGCTTTATCGTTCCCGCGCATAAAAATTTATTGCCAAACCGTATAGTAGCCGAAGATCCCATGGGCAATCTTGGTAGCGAATAAAGGACGTGTTACTTAGATATTTAGAATCTAGATCGGATCGTTTTTTTTTATAGCCGGTAACATTACGTATACATATGTCGTGCTGGTGATGCGTTGGATCTTTTTTATTTCACGGATTTATTTTTATTTTCGTTTCTTCATGGAAAGAAGTACCAAACAGTACGTGTCTATATTCAGTACAAGCCAGTATACTCTTTATTGGATATTAGAATAATTCGTGCTTTGTCCTTATGAGAAATTAAATTCCTGAAACTCGTCCCGGTGCTGTAATTAGTTTTTGCGGTTTTGTGCTTATAATTAGTACCGCGATACGTGACTGTTCTCTCGCTTGCTCGTCGTCCGTCCGAAAGACTCCCGCGTTGGGAATGATCTTCAGGGTGTATCTATATAGAGCTTGACGGAATGTCTAGGCTGCTGATAAGGACAAGATGTCAGGCGGTGGACAACAGCAGCAACAACAGCGCTCGGCTTACGTCGAGGCGCATGCTGTAGCTCACGCTGCCGTTCAGCAACACATGGCACAGCAAGCTGCTCAGGCACGACTAGCCGGACCTGGACCTCCTGCAGCACCACAGCCGCCCAATCCGACATTTACTCTGCCTGACGATGGACTAGGATACGACGATGGGGTTCGGGTTCTTCGTTCGATCGGTACTTGGTAAGTAATGATTTTTCGAAAATTATAATTTATACTTGCTGTTATGTGGAATTGATAAGTATATATTTTTTTTCTTCCGATGCGTGGTCCAGGTCGCCTGATTACTCTGCAGCCATGCGCCCTGGCGGTGTGATGCCGGCATTTCCAAGCACGACGGATCAGCAATTCGCCGGTGCGAGAGGTCCTACGGTTAATCAGCCTCCACGCACCACGAATACCGTCGGGATACGACCGGGTTCTGCTTCGAAGGCTACCAATACGGGAGAACCGACGACGAAGGCCTTCGCCTGCACTGTTTGCGGCAAGGGTCTTGCTCGTAAAGATAAACTCGTGATTCACATGCGGATACACACCGGCGAGAAGCCGTATTCTTGCGAAGTGTGCGGTGAGTAGATCCATCGGCATGCATTTCATATTTATTGCTTTGTATTACAAACCTACGAGATGGTGGACAGATATGCTCTATGGGATCTGGACTTTTGAGACCAATCCTCATTGCCATGTTGCAGGCAAAGCGTTCGCGCGACGCGATAAATTGGTCATTCATATGAACAAGCTCAGGCACAGACCTGGCGCTACACCTCTCTCGACGCCCACGGCTCCCAGCACGGATCAGCAGCAACAGCAACAGCAGCAGGCACAGCAGCAGCAACAGCAACAGCAGCAGCAGCAACAACAGCAGGCGCGTCAAGACGCTATTCAGAAACCTAAGGAAGAGCCTGTCAGCTGGGCTTGCGAATTATGTGGGCGCACCATGGCCACTAGGGAGGAATGGATGCAGCATGCAAGGTAAATATTAGTTAATTATCTTGTCAAGGATTTTGATCTTCGTCATACTTATTGATCATGCTCCTCCTTCTTGTCCGTAACAGATCTCACTTGGAAGTTTCGGCACCACCTCAGCACGCAGCCGCATACTTTCCTGGATCTGCAGCACCGCCACAACCCTATGCCTCTGAGAGGCACTTTTGCCTAATGTGCCGTACTGATTTCACTGACAAGGCTGAGTTCATGTTCCACGTACGCTCCCACTTTGAACCTCACGCTCAGCAAACTCCTACTCAACATACGAGCGGCAAGCAGGGTGGTGATCCTGCTACCGCAGAACTTATTGCACGTGGACTCGTTGATCCCTCGGGACTTTGCAGCTAGAACCACCCTCCTACTTATCATTACACACCGTCGATCCGTGTCTTACCATAGTACAACTTCTTGACTCCACATTGACCAGGACCTCAGCATAGCATGGAATGCATATTGGCGAACGTAATGTTATAATATTGTCTTATTAACAAAGGATACGCGGTGGCATGTAATCAAATTTTACTTACTGGACGAGTAGGTGACCCTACGAACTTTGTGAATGTGTTTATTTAATAATGTGATTTGTGTTGTTTGTGAAATCTGTCATTATGCCGGTTTCAATAGAATATCGTGTGACAAGGGATGAAACATGACGATTTCAGACTAGAGTGAAGTTGGCTGCTCGAGCCGTAGGCGAGGGCTGACATCACTCGAAGTTTGAAATCGTATTTTGTCACGTGCCACACACTATATTTTTCATATTACCTGTATTGAAACTCGTCGTTTCAATGTAGGTAATACGAAAAACATTTTTTTATCAGAATCTGAGTGAACTAGTTAGTATTAGCCATACATGACATATCATTGATAACTTATCTTTTTCATGATTGTTGACGAACGTGCCAAAGCGTATTCTTTACATCCAATAAGCCTCCCTTCTATGATATCTTACAAGATCCTTAGGTACTGACTTGATGCTATTGTAAAAGTACCATTATATTTGCACTATCATGTCAGTATCTAAACTACTGTAATTATCCGTTAGTGTACGATTTTATATAATCAGCTTTACAGATTTAATTGGCCTTCCTTTTGCAGTGTCTACTCTTTTAACACAACTGGTTTGTTCTCAATGCGGGTAAGGGAATATATCCCTATTCGAAGAATTATATATATATATATATACACACACGCACGATTAAATTATCTCCGTCCTGTTAGTACTCGACAGTCCGATTCAGGACTTTAGATCACTTTGGTCCACTCTGCGAGGTAGAAGACTAGACATGTCAAGTTATTAGTAATTATCAAAAATTTTATTTCACCGTGACATGAGATCGCATTAATACTAAGGGCTGAACGCAATTTTGAGATAAAATATTATTTTAATTGTAATTTTACCTGTCGAGGTGTTTTATTTCAGTGATAATGAGAGAAATCAAGTAATAGAATTGAAGACAGAGGGGGATATAAAGATAAACCTGAAATATTCATATGAAACGTTAACGTTTTCTCTTTCGTTGGGAAATTTTGCATTGCGAACAAACTGTAACTTCCAAAAATCGCGTAAGAAAGTCTTACACAGCGCTTACTTCCCAATTGTCTCCGTAGAATTAGGACATTAGATACCAGTAGATTGCGCTAAGAATTTTTAAGCTGCCGTGCCTCCTGTCTCACGTAGAACTTATTATACTTTTGAATCATCTTTAGTTTTTATGTAATATAGCCAAAAAAAATTTGACTGAGTACTAATCGTAGTTGACTGTAATAATTATCGTTTTGTGTAATAAGTTTTAAAGAAGAAAAAAAAGAAGTTGATCAGGTCCATAAACATAAGAAATATTCCAACAGAGAAACCTTAGGAGAACTATGGAATCTAATGGTGCTTAGATTACGTTAATATACGTTCATTAATTCCTTTCGCATTCTTCTAATTGCCATTTATTGTTTAGTTGATCCTTCTTTTTTTCGTTATCAATCCACTTTATTATGCGTTTAAAGTTATTATCTAGGTATATTGCGTTTGGTATAACGACGCCGTGTAGCATGATCCGCTAAGTCTGTTGACATGCTAACTTCTATTTCTTTTTCGTAAAAAATTGGTTTAAAAGGAGTTAGAAGTAGAATTTTTTATTGTTAGAAATTTGCACAAAAAAATGTGAACGTGCAGTATTTATTTGTCACGATGCATCAGAACTCTAACGCATTTGGTCTCATGATTTTTAATTTTATTGTGTCGGAGATTCTGGGAGGAATTTAAAAAAGTTACATTCTCTAGAATAAGATGCATTTGCAATTTCTAACACTTATCGGGTATTCCGCATACAAAACAAGCGCATTATGTTATTCTTTAGATACTCAACAATAATTTACATCCATCGTATATGCTAATAGGGAGTCATCATTTTTTTTAAATTACTGTATTTCTCACCGAGCAATCAGATTCCATTGATCCCGAAATGGGTTTCGTGTATTTGAATTCCAGTGTATTAACATTAATCGGTCGCTGTGGGGTATCAATAAGGAAAGAAAGAGAAAAAAAATGAGTAAATAAAAAATATCGCAAATATCGCAAAAGACTGCAATTCGCAAAGTTGCATAAGATTTTTTTGTTAGAAAAATCCATATTATAAGTTGTGTAGAAATACGCGTACAATTGTTATATGGCGTCAATCAACAGTGTACTCAACGTAGTTTCATAAAAGCGAGCACCTACGGTTATTCCATTGAGTATTACGATTATATGTGAAAGTGCAATCAAATTCAAATCAAAGTGACATTTTCTTTATATCGCACCCGTAGGACGACTAGTTGTTCGCACTTGAATATGAATTTTTTGTTAAAAATTTTAATCGCTGGTTAAAATGGGCCACGCGCTACTCGCAAATTAGCTAGGTTGCCAACTAATTAACTGACTTAGCATAGAAACGTATGCTTCGGTGTTGATCGCTACCAAGAGAAGCGTAGAGACAATGAAGGATATCTTGGCATTGGTCACGATCATTTTCACGACAGTGTGTTTCTTCGATCTTTCATTTCCCTATTTTTCTTCTAATTTTTCGTTACTCACCAAATCACCAAGTTACTAAGTCGATCGCAGGACGCGATCGAGATCGTTCGTCGGGATATTGAGGATCGAAGGGGCTTTCGGCATCCTGGAACACATTGGATGCATAGTGCCTTCTCTCTGGGACTTGTTAACCTGCGTTCATGATAACTCTGCGTCAACGTGTCGGGAGGCACACTGGCATAAAAAGAAATAAAGTAAAGCATAAATAAGTTAAGTTAGCATTACTCGTTTGTTTTCTGTTGTGAGGAGTGTGAATGTTCGATGCCACTGCCTCTAGCAGCTGTTCTAGACTACTTTTATACTGTTGATGTCACACGCAGCTAATCAGAGTCAGTATATTACTGCCATAATCATACCGTAATATGTATACTCACTATACCTTTATAAATAAAAATATCTAAAATTATTAGATTCTATTGCTCTATGTAATTATAACGTTTTTCAACGTATTCCTTAAGTCGCTGTTATCTCTGTAACACATAGCGTTAAGCTTACGCTGCGTGGGTAATGCTGGTGCTTACTTATACGGTGTCGCTGCGAGAAATGTTACGGTTTAGCATTTCTTTGTGCGTTAAGGCTACCGAGTTGAGTTCCTGCTTTGTTAAGGCGGTTTGCCTTGCCAGACGCCGCGCCCGTATTATGAACCCGGTCATGGGTGACTGCGTGCTTGGCTGGCTCGACACTTACTTTTTTTCTTCTTCTTTCCCTTCTGGATCGAGATGTTGGCTGCTTGCGTTGGCAGAATCGAATCTTGCTGAGAAAATGCTACCTTGCGTTGGTACTTTCTTTGCTTTTGCATGTGCGAAACTTGCGTTGCGCGCGATTGAGCCGACGATCCGTATGTTTACGTGCGATCAATGCCATTCACTGACTGTTGCGTTATGAAATGGAAAAGGTCAAAGGTTACTGGAGGAAAGTGATCTACCACTGGCTCTGGTAATTGTGCGAAGAAATGTTCTTTTTTGTATATCATAAATGTACAAGAAGAATTTTTCTATGGAATTTAGAATATTTTATCCGTGTTCAATGACACGTCAAGTTTTCTTATAATCGTTTAAGAGGACTAACGGTATGTTTAGATTTTTAATAATTTCAGATTCGTATTATGTAGAAACCGCACTGCATTGGAAAGTAACTGATTTGATCGGCATGTCGAGGATAACCAGTGGTGTTTCATGGTCAGATCTATACTTCCGTAATAAGATCATGGATGAGATTCTTAATGGATGCTTTGATACAGTAAACATTGAAAAAAATTTTTTTTTGGAATGCTAATAAAGAAGGAACCACTTTGTAATTTATTCATACGTGCAAAATGACGTCATCGATGTCTGCCTTGTACACTCTAGTTTTTAAGAGAAATTTAATAATTTTTTCATGGATTCATAAAATTGTACACGCGAATGATTGTCAATAGAAATTTTGAAGCGAGCGAATTTATGAGTTCTTAGATTCAACTCTTACTGAACGTGTACGAGAAACCGTCTGGAGTTCTGTTGAAGTTCAACTTTCCTGGAGGATAAAATCTGTGAGGTGCTGGCGTGGTGAGAGCATTGTACGGTGGTTGAGATCTAGAAGCTGGTTGATATTGAGGTTGAGGCTCATAATCGGGTTGAGGTTGTGACTGGTACTGAGTTTGAGGTCTTCGAGCAGGTTCTGGTTGATAATGAGATTGCGCTGGTGGTTGATACTGTTGTTTCGATTGCTGGTAATCCGGTGAATTATACTGGGGCAGGGGTACGTATTCTGGTTGGGGAGCAGCCTGGGGTGGAGCCTTTGGAATGTGATCACCGGTAGCCTGAAAAAAAATACAAAACAAAATCAGCCTCCCATTACACCCAAAACAACATTCTTAAAAAATAACCTACAATTTTCTATATCCCATGATTCTCTTACTAACCTGAAATCCGTTCTTTCCAGCTGTATACGTGACGGTATGTCTTTTCCCAGTGGGATCCACATATGAGTATGATCCTCGACGATCCCCATTGGCGTCGCTCTCTTCCTTGAAAACTACGCCATCTTCTTGGGAGTAAGCAGCACCAAATGTTCCATCGCCAGATAGGTAACGTGCGTCAGTCAAAATTGCTGCGTTTTGTGCGGCATCTTGATACTGTGAGTACTGGCTGTTGACCAATGCCAGGGAACTGGCAAATATCACCTAATAAGTATAATAGAAAATTAATAAATTACCAGGAACCCATTCGAGGACTCTATCAGAACACCGAGTTTAATGTCAGAAGCAATTGGAGGAACTTGGATACTGATGCTGCTATCGACTTACTAGTGTGACACTCATGATGAAGAGGAGGCGAGGCAACGCGGAGTTTGGTATTGCGCTCCAGCATCGTCGAGAGGGGCGTTTTATACGACGAGTTTGTTCCCCGGGTTCACGGGATCTCAGGGCAAGAGGCCTTGGTGCCGCCTGCGCGTCTCATTGATTGCCGATTGCACTCTGTGCTATTCCTTTACCACGCCCTGTTCATAATTATCTTATGGATATGCTGAACTTCTTTCATGATAAACATTCTGACATTTTCATAACGTTAGGCATGAGCTTATACACACCTTGGGCGAAGAAATGCTGTTGTGGAATAATAAAATCTTATAATTTAATTTTTTTCTCGGGAAATGTATTTCATGAAGATACAATTCAAGTGGTGAATTTTGCGACGAATTTACGCACACACTATTTTAGGCAACTTTCAGTACTTTTAAATATGTTTGGCCAGGATTTCTAATATCTAAGTGCTAATATTTTACTTTATTGATTCAATTAATTATTTTAATATTCCAAACACTTAATTTATTAAGATTTCAATTTGAGCCTTATTTATTTTCGATATTTTACAATTTCAATTCAATTTTTATCTACTCCGTTTATTCTGCGAGATTCTGATTTAACTTCAATTTGATATTTTGAATAAATTTTGAAAAATAACAGCAGCGGAGCAATTAGGAAAATATAAGAAGTATTAAGGAGCATTTTTTTTTAGGCATTAGAAACATAAATTTTTATCCTTTGACGCTAACTGCCCGACGGTAATATAAGGAACGTTCTTATCTGTAAGTCAATTCTCTGTCGGTATTGTAGATAGAATCGGTTGCCGATAAGTAGCTTTTCAAAATCGGCCAATCAAAGAACCGACGCAAGATTTGTTTCAATTGATGATTTACCAACAAGTAAATCAAATGTTAATGCAATTTCAGTCAGTGACGTTGCGAGTCGCTGAACGGAAAACAGTCAAACTATCGTGGACTTGGTCTTGCATACAGCAGAGTAAGAAATGACAAAGTTTTTGATGAAGACAAAAAAGATGTCAAGGTACACTCTATACTGGTCAATTAACTAATTAAAATAATTAATCAAAATAGCTTCAGGCAGTCGCAGAAATTTTTTCTAATAATAATATATTACGACCAATCATTTCTTTCTATAGAAGTTTCATAAGAACTTGCTCCATGATATTTCTCCTTTCTTTGAGTCAAACGTGTCGCAACCGTACTAGTAATTTCGAAAATTGCGTCCAATCTTAAGGATCCTAATCATAGTAAAACATAGTAGGGTACGGCTAATATAAGCCTACATGAATTTATGATTAGTTTTACGACGTTTTTATTATTGGCTTTTACTTTACTGTTTTCTGTGAATTATTATGATGAAACAGGAGTTTTGCAGGTCTGTTTGCTTTCCGTTTGGTACACATATACATATCTCACGAAACAATAGTTAATGTCAGTTTGGAATTTCGTCGCAATGAAATCACTGAAAATAGATCACTGCAATTCCTCAAGCTTGATTCCCAACGTACACAATCAATACATATGGTATAAGTATCATCAAAAAGCGTTCCATTCTCCACGCCATTCTCTCAGCAATATAATACACCAGTCCTCTCGTACAGAGCCTTGAATGTCTGATTTATAATCAACGATTAAATCCCTCTGCTCGATTATACGAAGCGCGTGGAATTTCTTAGATGGAATCGCATTGTTTCCACGACTTTTTATTTTTTTAAACACCGGAACTGAACGCAGCCATCCAGGTCGTAGTCCTTTCCTTCGTGAAACTCCCGTTCGTGTGATGCAACTGGGAATCGACTTTCTATCGGATTAAACCAAAAACGATTAAACGTCAATACTTTTGTTATAAAGGCTGGGAGACTCTAATTTCTCAGCGTCCATAAATGCGAGTAACCGGTAATGACATAAGGGTTAGGTGGGGCGGGGTAAAAAATGTGGAGCAGGCAAGCTCAAGATATATTCTTGGAATTTCATTGTTCCTTACAGTGAGATTACAACATGAGATTCCTGAAAGGGGTGGCTTAATAAATGAAAAGCAAATTAGTCTCGGTCATGAAAATTACTGGATAATTTTACATTGGCACTCATCGTTGCAACATGACTGCCCTAATACTATTCTTAGGATTTTGCAGTTGGGTTACGTGAAAAACCCATTCTCGGACTTGGGCCTGAATAATACCTGATGTCTTACGGGTATACTCGTTACCTCAGGCGAATGACTTTAAAAGTAGGTAGCTATTGAGGCGGGAGCCAATTACATCAGGGCTACTGGTGCCTATATAGAAGTACCGGCGTCTGTAGCTGCAGATTTCTTGAACGGAACTTATCGTTCATCCACGACGATCCTTGTCAAGCAACTATGAATCTGAGAGTGAGTGTTCGACAGTCATGGAGTTTGGAAAATTTATGATTATTGATTTAAAATTGACATTGAGGTGTGTCGTGAGATTTAAAGAAATTTTGGACACGTCGATGAACCTTAGGTTTAATAGTGTTAATTTGTATCTGATGTGACAGTTACGTACTTTATTTAAATTATATGTAGATTGAGTAATAAGTCGTATAACGTGATTAGAGATTATAACCATTAGGATGATTGCAAATTAATTATTGGTCTTGTATTATTTATAACAGTGACTTGTGTTGCAAAATGTTGTACAGTTTAGTGAGGAGTTTTCATATTTGTCTCTTTGGTTTTCTTGTTAAAAGTTACTTGTATCGGATTACTTGATATGTGTATCATTAGCGTAAGTGAATGTGCATCGAGTCAATGAGGCAAGTTTAAAAAAAATAGACCGCGAGTTCCTAGGAAGCTACTGTGTACTTTCTATCCGAGTATAAATTCATTATAGAATCAATTTGATGATATATGATATGTTCTCAATGAATTTGCTGGAAAATCATTTGAATATAATTTTAATTTTTTAAAGGTGCTTCTTCTGACATTAGTGTCAATGTGTTTGGCACAGGATGTTGTGACTGGTCGATTTTCTCGGTCGCCTGAAAGTCACATCCAATATAGCGATCCAAATGGTAAGAATTATGAATAATCCAGATGAGTGAAAAAAAGAAACTAAAAAAAATTCTGATTTTCAGGTCTAAAAGTCAATTGGAAACTTTATGCTCCTTACACCCAATGGAAATCTCATCTGGAAAAACCACAGCGTGCTCAAAGAGCTGAAACTGGAACTATTCATCCAACCAGCAATCATCAGGTTCAACCGATCAAGAATGAAGTACTTCAAAATAAAGTTGAAGCCGAACAAGTTCAATACAAACCATATTTTGCAGTACCGACCCATATAAAGGAATTAATTGTTCGGGCCTACAAACCTCATGGAGCTTATATAGATCCAGAAGCTTTTATTTATAAAACTCATCCCCAAAATTTGGCACCGGTCTATGATCAATCAGCTGTTGCACAATCTCAATCGAGTCAAACCCATCAGGATGATATCAAACAGTCTGCGGCTTACAAACCAAAAGCTCAAGAGTACATTATTTTTGGTGGTAAAATAGAGAAACAGGAGAAGAATGATAATGCTCAGAATCATCAAGAGGCCAAGGTACCTTATTCGTCATTGATGTCTGCACCACAACCAGTTGTGTCGATGGCTCATTTGGATTACAGTAAAAATATGCCAGTTGAAATTCAGCGATTGTTGCACTATCAGGCACAGTTGCCTTACAACGTCATTGCTAATCATATACTGTATCAGCCAAAATCAATTTTTATACCTAAACCATTGGCAGAACAGGAAAAAGGACCTTATCAGTATCGCAGCAAAGTTTATGTATTGAAAAATAATCAAGCTGATGTAGATCCATCAGTAAAACCAATAGAAAAGAAACAACGTCAGTAACGGATACGTTATGGAGGTAGTGATGGTGCTATTTTTTAAAATTGTTTTCGGCTGTCAAATTAAATATACAAACGTAGAAAGTAAAAGTATCAGTCTTTTCCACTTAGTTTTAAGTTTGTAGATCAACGACTAATCGATATTCCAAATAGGCTGAATCGGTTGCATAATTTTGTAAAATAAATGTAAAATAATGTAAAATAAATTATTTTATTTGACATATCATCAGTGAATTTTGAAATATCCTTTCTCATTTAAAATAAGCATTACTGATTATGCTAAGCAAGCCGGATTTTATTCATACTCTCACGGTTACAAAGTCAAACGATTTGCTCCAAACTCCCATTAATGTCTTTACCCACGACAAAGTAATTGTATAAAGTAATATTTCCCTTTCTCAATCTATACCTACTTGTATAACACGACGGCGATTATTTTATTGGATTTCACTTGAAACAAAAGGATAGCATTTCTCCGGATCAGGAAGAGTTAACGAAATGATCCACTTTCGTGGCCTTCACGCTTCGTCACTCTCTCCAAACTTCACTATTTCTAGTGCATTTACTAGATGCCATTCTCGTACTTCCATTATGTCTGTAACTTTTGTTTTTGTGCATTATATCAACCCGCCATTCATTATCAACATGACACAACAATTATCGTACTATAATTGTACCAAAAAAAAAAAGAAACGAACATTCCAAATACATTACACGTTCAGAAATAATTTAATGTTATTTATAAATTATTATACGTAATCCCTATTCATGTATTTATTAATGCGAATATATTTAGAACGTAGTGCTTTAATAAACACAACGTACGAAGTGTACGAAAACAACGAAAACGAAGTGTACGTATATTAATGTTGCAAAATTTTTAAGTTTATAATTTTCTATACAAATATATATATATATATATATATATATATATATACATGCATATATATCTATAGAGAGCGATTAGCGAGTTACTTTCAATTCACATTCTGGAATCTCTTGAAAACTTGACTCGAGGTGTTCAGTGTAGTCGATGTTGCTGTACATGGGATCCGCCTCTCAAAAGTGTAAAACTGCTGGACCATGCAATCCTGAACGGAGCTCAGCACGACGTAACGCAATGCAATGGAGGTGGCTTAGAATTGGCATCCCCTCGCCAAACTAGCAGCCTATAAAGTTGTTCCCTCGCACGCGCGCCCGCCTCAGAAAGTCTCCACCCTTGAACATCCAAGTACACTCTCCTCGACATGATGAAATTGGAAGTAAGTCAATTCAGTGTCTAAATAATATTCAACATCAAATTAGTCGAATTGATTTTTGACTATCGTGGTACTTGTGCGCGGGATATATTATTACACATCATATTCTCGCGCGTGAATCAACATTTTAACAAGTAGATATTCCGTGAGAATGATTTTGTTTGCACGCTTTCGAAAAACAAACCATGATTAAGCTGTATAAAAAATTATTGAAAAATATTTCAATGATGCATTGCTTATTTTTCTATATTCACTTGATAACGGGGTATCCATTGAATTTAGGGCAAACATTAGAAAGCTCGTAATTATTCGTTTTGTTTTGTTGTACCTTATTAATTAATGTTCTATGATATTATACCGGTTGTTGATCTAGATTAGTAATAGACGTACGTCCGTAGTTGCATTTTTCTGATAAATCTTTAAGTATCGGTAACTGTCATTCTTATATACATTTTTTGAAACTGCAATCAGGAAAAGCGGGTCAGGTAGCTTAATATATCCTTAACTTTCTATTCCTGAGTGTAATTCCAATGGCGATAGATATATTGAATCTAAGGTTGAAAGGCTTCGTGTACACAGAGACTATCTGTTCCCTTTCGCATGCCGAGTTCCTAGTTACATGCTGGTTAGTTCTCAAATGGCATGTCGCAAATCGAAATGTTAAGCAGAAAGGTTGAATTGCACAACGGCTCTCTCGATTACGGTTTGATTAATCATTATCAATAGAGATAGCAATTCTTGGATGAGTAACTTTCCCTTCATTTGCATTGTGCTAAATGCACCTGATTCTCAATTAAAAATTACTCTAAGACATTACAATTAATTCCACGGCATTTTGCAATTTCGGAGTTTATTCAATTCTCATGCCCTTTTTCAGACTTTACTTATAGTCACACTGCCCCTGTGTCTGGGCCAATTCTCCATCCAGGGACCGAGTGACGGGAATCGAGTCTCACAGGGACTAAAGTATAGCGAAGAGAAGGGAATTGAGTATACTGATCAGAGAGGTGAGTGGATAAAAATACAAAAAAAAAATTGCAGGAAATTAGTGAGCAGAGGTAATGAAAAAAAAAAAATGCTCAACAATTTCCCATAATTGGTAACTGGTTTAGACGGTCCTTCGACGCTCATGTAAAATTTACGTGGAAATGTGTTCAGCTTCTCTTGGCTCTGGCGACTTCAATATTCAAGGCGCCACCGATGGAAACACTGACTTCAGGATTCAGGGCGCCAGTGATGGGAACAGCGATTTCCAAATTCAAGGTGCCACCGATGGGAATAGTCAGTTTCAAATTCAGGGCGCTACGGATGGGAATAGTCAGTTTCAAATTCAGGGCGCTACGGATGGGAATGCTGATTTTAGAATACAAGGAGCTACCGATGGACACGGTCAATCTGCGATCCAAGGACCTTACGATGCCAATCAAGGAGGTGGACGAGCATTGCAGTATAATGATCCAAGTGGTACGACGACAGTAACAATTTATCAACATCATGTTAGTTGATTATTCTTCAACGTTAAAATAAACATCTCTAGGTCTCAGAGTTAATTGGAGGTCTTATCAACGGCAAGTTCAGCCGCGTCAACATGCACAAAGACAGCAGCCAGAACCGCAATATGCAGCTGAAACTGCAGCACCTGTTCCAGTAAGAGTTGCTAAAGAACCTGCACAACCAGTTCATCAACCTCAAACTCAGGTTCCTCCTCAACAACCAATCAGCTACAGACCCTACAGCAATGCTCCATCTCAAATTAAGCAGATACTTCAGTTCCAAGCTCAGATACCTTATCTCAACATTATTCCAGAACAGTACAGGTAAGGTTGAAGTTTGATACAATTTTTGTTCTTGTTCAACATTCAACATATTTATTGTAGGTACGACGAACTGGCTGCTGCTCAGGCTAATTCTCAACAAGTTCAGGCTCATTATCGAGAACAAGCTCAACAGGCACGCGCGCCTGAACCCACTGACGAACAATACAAACGTCCTCAAGGAAGACCACGTGGACCACCTAGACACAAACGTCAGGCACCTCAACATCAACAGGCTGCGCCTCAACAACAGTACAGAAGAATATCTCAACCGCCGGTTGAACCCCAACCTCATTATTCATCCAATGTACCTTCCCAGATTCAACAACTTCTCAACTATCAGTCGCAGCTTCCTTACAATATCATTGCTAATCAAATTGTTTATCGTCCTGATAAGCCTTACGTTCCTCAGCCTGTTCAACCTTCTGCCCCTGCAAATGCTCAGTATCAAAGTCAAGGCCAAGGGCCTTACAATCAGGGCCAAGGTGGAGTTCGTCCAGTCACTGAAAAACAATATTAATTTTTTTTTTTTCATCTGCGAATTCAGGTTTTCAATAATAGGTAATTTTTTGGAATTCGCAGGCACACTATTTGTCAAGTTAGCGAATGATTTCAATTTCCAAAATTTACAATGATATCAAGTTATGCAACAAAGGTACCATAAATCATAAAATTTATTTAACAAACGGAGTCCTGTCTATGTAAAATATTAGGTTAAAAAGAGAGAGATGCACAGTGATAATATTTTTTGATACTAGTATAAGTTTTTTGCATATTACATTTATACGTTTTCTAATAAAGTTTTATCAATTACCCATCCTTTTAATATTCAAGACCTATAACTTGGCATCTATCTATTTCAACGCGTCAAACTTATCTTGTAAGTTGGGAGAAAAAAAAATTCAAACTTTCTCAAATTCAACAAAAATCGGTCTATCTGGACAATATGTACATCTATACATATATATATTAACCTTTCGAATCAGACTTCCTGCAAAAGTGGTTTTTGCCGTTACGTGACAACTTAGTACACATGTGATCCACTTACGCGCATATGCGTTTACCTGCATCAGTCCCGTTCCGTAACTCAAAGCGTACGAAAGACTTTATTTCCATCTTTCGTATCCGATCACAAATATAACTTACACTTAACTTATACACGTGTACTCAGATGTCATCGACCTTCGTTCTACATAGTTAAATATGAAAAATTACCTGACATATAATTTTCCATACGACGAATGACAATCTCTAACGAACCATACATGCATATTAAAGTTTCATAATATTCCATAAAAAAACAAAATTTTTATACAATGCCATCAAAAGATGATTCAATATCACTTTCCTCAAAAATCATCAAAAATAAGATTCCATAGAAATCATCCTTGATTGCATCATCCCTATGGAAAGAATAGTCAACTGATATTATTGAACTGTCAAATATTAAGTAGTGTAAAATTAATTCAAAAATACTGTTAAATTTCAAATTTCATTATTAAAATTACTTTCCTTGTTCTCGTTATTCTAATTACTATGTATCTAACATCTGAAAAATTATCCTGCTTGAATCCGCATTATTTCCCCAGGATTTCTATACACTCCACATGGCAGCTTTCCCGATCACTTCCTGGCCCCAGCAATGCCCAGCCACGCGTCGTTACGTGACTAGGGCCCAGGAATAAAAATTTGAAGGCAGCGAACCATGAAAGCTGGTGGTGGCCATTTACCCTGCAAACGCTCGCCCATATAGAAGTGCATCGCGACTTTGGTCGCCAGTTTTCTCAAGTTCCCGTTGAAATCGTCATCCGGCTTATCGTCATGAAGGTCCCGGTAAGTTTCATTATTCTTATTAAGGCATGGGTATCAATAATATTATTTTTCACATTCGTTTATCGAGTCTGGTTTATTGGAGTTTGTTTATTTCTTAAAAGTTCAACATTCATTATGTCTTTAGTCGCTCGTTAATTCCATATGGATTTATTTTCCATACTGTATATGTTAAAAAAAATTGCTCGGTAATTAGAAGTGGATAGCAGACTAATGATTTTGTAGAAATTTATCATGATCGATGTTAATATTTTTTCTGCTGATTTTTACTCGTGCTGTTATAACTGACGTTTTCTTAATCGTAAACAGTAGACTGATTGCTGACACAAGCGATGGATTTAATGACACGTCTTTCGATGATTGTGATTTTTTCTCTTTGTTGACTGTGAAATAATAACGAGTGAACTGTCTTTTCTTTCTGTATATTCGACGCTTTTTCATTGCATCGGCCGTTACGTCATAAAAAGCTGTTTGTTTTACTCGACTAGTGCGATTGGTTACATGGTACTATTATACCGTGAGGAAAAGATAGAATTACATGGAAAAGTAAAACCCTAGGAATTGACAGACGTAATGCGTCGCTTTACATTGTAGCGGCATTGGTCTCTCATTACTTTCTAATTTCCATTTTCTCAGACGCCTTACCTAACTATCACGCCATATTAGCAATGGGTTCTTGGAGTTTCTCGTGTACGAATTAAAGTTCGAAACTTATTGCATCTGTCGTTTACGTTCTTTTAATTTTCAAATTTACAATCTCGTTGCGCCCATTGCACTTTCGAAATCGGAGAAAAGAAGAGAGAGGCAAAGAAAAAGGTATTTTAATCACGATCTATGAATTGCAGATTTTACTCCTGCTGGCGATTCCTGTATGTCTGTGTGCAGATCCGCTGGCCGATAGCCTCTGGCCCGTGGAGGTACCTCAGTATATGAGAATCGGTAAGGGCCGACCTGAATATTTTTGAAAATTTTATATGAATTGCATAAAGTTTTTTTTTCGTAATTTTTAGAACACTTACGCACGCGACGAGATGCGAATCCTCCAGCGGACCAGGTCAGCTACAGACCTTATTCACAGGCCCCAAGCCAGATCAAGCAGCTGCTTCAATTTCAACAAGCTCGTGAACCACTGGTTCACATTCCGTCACAGCCGCCGCCACAACTCGGTCCTGCCAAACCGATAGAGCCGCAATATCAAACACAGTCCCAAGTTTCTCAATATAATCCACAAGTTCAGTATGGGTCTGCGCCGCAGCAACCGACTTATAAGGCCCAGAGTGCGAATGTGCCGGCCCAGTATCGACCTCAGCAGGCTCAGGCGCAGCAGTACTCTCCGCAGTATCGCGCTCAGGCAGCTCAACAGGCTCAAAATGTTCAGCCTAATTACAACAGGCCTGTGTACCGTCCATCGCCACAACAGCAGGCTGCACCGCGACAGCCACAATATTCGAATAAATTGCCGCCCCAGATTCAGCAATTGCTCCAAGTGCAAGCTCAGCTACCGAATGCCATCCCTCAGGGTCGTCCTCAGGGTCATCAGGGACCACCACAATCTCAGGTCTTTCAACCTGAACAACGACGGCTTTATTAAAATGCATAAAGTTTTTTTTTTTTCATTTTCAGGTAATTCTTTCCCTATCATTTCTCTTCTTCGTTATATTATTCAAACTGATCCTTTTCATTAGCATTGCAATCCTTGTCACCGGTGTACTTTCTATAAGTGTTGGGAAGTCGAATAAAAAGAAACCTTAATATATCTGAAAATTATCATAAGTATCGTGTGTTGGATGTCGTACGAAATGTAGAATAGTAAAGAATTGAGATATTATCAAAAAGTGATTTGCAAAATATTCCATACTCCTCTGAACTGATACCGTAGCCATAACAGCTCCTAAAGCGAAGTGGATCTGATAAATCTGCGTCACCTTCAACCCCTGCTAAATCCAAGGGCTGCTTCCAAGAGGTATAAGGGTGACGAGACAAATGTTTGTCAATTTCACCAGGCAAGATAGTATCAAGATTTGGGACGTCGAGTGCTAATGGAGAGATCGAAATTAATAGATATCCATTTGTCACCCTTACAAACATACCCATCCATATTTCCAGCATCCCTTGGTACTCCAGTTCTGTTACCAAAAATGGCGGTAGAATACTTAACTCCGTCTTGTATACATATACACCAATATTTCAACGTGGTCCCAAAAATTACTCGAACATATTTTAACCCCGAAAGTATCTGATGAAAAAAAAAAAAACTTTTTTTACACGACTCATTAAAGAGTGTAATAAAATAATAAAAATTTTCAAAAACCTCCCTTAACGCGGGTGAGCGCATTTTTCGAAATCAGGGTTCACGGGGGTGGCTAATTCGTCACTCGAAGAATCAAGGTATCATCGCACCAGTGGTTGCACACAAGGGGCGTATCTCTGTGGTAGCGTACCCCAATGTGGCAGGGCACCGGGAACCCTTGTTACAATTACACGACAGCGTTCAGACCCACACGTACGTAGTTGTATACTCCAGTACCGTGCAGTCACCACTCCCCATTTCTCTAGCATAGACCTGAATGTGCCTGATGCCCTCTCTGGCAAACAGGGAAGAGGATTAGCGAGTCCATTAAAGTCGCGGACTCTATTATCCGAGGGGGTGAGGGGGTACCGTCCATGGTGACATCAACCGCCAAGCATTGGCGTAGGCACTGTGTTGCTATACGAGTACAAATAATATAAATTTATGTAAAATAAAATATTATAAAAATTTTTTATTTTTTTTTCAAAATACCACGCTCAACAGGAAACGGATAAAAATTTATTTCCCTCGTGCCGTGGACAGTACGAATTTTGGAAACTTACTAACGGACTGCCAATGCTACCCTGAAGGATTAGGTGAAGAGCGTACAGCCAGAGTAAGGGATATTGTTTTCTGTAGTATTAAGGTCAAAGTCTAAGTGATCTGTGGTAAGGATAGCATTAATTTTCATAGGACACCCTTTAACCCGGATACTTCCGTAGAGCGATGGGCTTTGGGGCCGTAAGGCCCCGCGCCATTGCCAGGGGGTCATGGAGGCAAATTACAAAGGGAGGATTACCGGCAGCTGGGCTACCAGGCAACCATCTCTCCTCTGGGTCTTTCGCGAGTGAGCCATCCATGTCGTTCAAGAGCTCTTTGTCCTACGACGCATTGGTAACATAATTATCGGAGTTATAACAAGCCAAACCCATACCTCACCCTAAAGGGGTTCAATGTGACAAGCGGTTAAGATATCGACATCTCACGTGTCGTACACGTGATATCTGTGGGACACTCTTCTAATAAGACGAAATGCATCTTAGATGGGTTTTTATAAAATTTACTAGGTACATATAAAATCAATTTTTTTTTTAATTTATCTGAACCCCGTAGACGGTTAAACAAATTTTCAATTTTATTTTCATTTTTTTTATGATCAATTTTTTTTTCATGCGATGTCTATTTTTTTATTTAGTAGCATTTTTC